GTGGACATGGACAAGACATACGAAAATACTTAGATTTGCAGGTCAGCTGTTTAGTTGGACTGGATATCAGTTCTCTAGAGATTAACGAGGCTCGACGGCGTTTGAAAGAGTTAAGAATGTCTGGTGCCACTGGATTAGACAATTATCGTTTTCACATAGCGAATGTGTTAGAACCCAGTGTGTACGAAAAGCTTTTAGTCATAGCAAACGAACAAGCCCCAAAACCGAACTTGTCTCCGAAGTTCGACGTTGTTTCGATGCAGCTAGCCATTCACTATTGTATTCAAAGTGAAGAACAAACGAGAGTCATTATCAACTCTATTTCAAAATATCTAACTCTGGGAGGTGCGTTTCTCGCTTCCTGTCCTTCTTCTTTTGTCATAGCAAAGAGAATAAACACGGAACTCAAGTTGCGCCTTGCAGGACCGAATTCGAAACCGGAAGATCAAGACATCTACTATTTTGGCAATGCGATATATGCAGTAGAATTCAACAATCAAGATTTAGACGAAATGTTTGACATTGACATTAAAATAACACCGTTAACGGTTCAGTGTAAACCCGAATTTTCTTTCGAGATTAACCACCACGCGTTGCCGTTTGACGCTGAATATTCAAAAAACAACAATTATAACTTAACCGCCGATTTGAACACAATCAATAGCAACATAGTCCAACTATATCTTGCACAGAAATGGGGGATTAAGTACAAGTTCTGGCTAAAAAACCACATAAACGAGCATGAATATATTGTGCCGTGGTACTCTTTTATCAAGTTATGCGCTGAATACGGTCTTAAATGTATTTTTCGTTCAGAGTTTTTAGACTTTTATGCACAGCATGAAACAGAACTTTCCAATTCAATCCGTTCTGCAAACATCAAGACACCACAGGATCTACTCAATAGCGATGTAACCCACATTAGAGAACAGTTAGATTGCATAAACATATACCAGTGTTTTGCATTTGTTAAATACAAGTAAACAGCAAATTAATTCATGACAATAACTTAGAACTAAATAAAATATTTATTATACCAAGCGTTATGTAATGTAACTAAACAAAAAGCTCCACAAAAATGACATGCACAAATTTCTATTTTGTTAATCCTAGCGATAAATAAGTAGGCGCGCATCGTTGTTAAAACTCAAAGTAGTAAGCGTTTCAGCTTGGCAACATTAAGTTTAAGAACTCAACGGACTTTTTTGTTTTCGCACGTGCCTAAGTAAATTTCTACAAGGAAGCGTGTTCGAGAACATATGGAATCATTGAGAAGCAACGCTTGTAGTTCCGGCAAAAAGAGTTCACGAATCTCATTGTCACGATTATGTTCTGCAAGTTTTTTTAACGTCGAAATGACGACCTCAATTTGAAGTTCCTTCCCTGGGTTGATCATTGACTGAATGGCTGCTAAACAAACATTAGCATTAATTAAGCCCTGCAAAAACAGTTCTGCTATAAAAAGCATATTGCCCATGATGTTGAGTTTAAATTTCTGGAGGTTCTCGAAAACTTCGTCTTCGCTAAGCGACTCGTCAGGAACGAAGTCCATCAATGCATTGGCCTGCGTACGAGTCTGAACTTCATAGAATAATATATCTCTGAAGGTTTCTTCGCTGTTTAGGAAAATGAAACTTTGATTACAATCATTATACAACGAAATAATCAAACTAGCGTAGTGTTTAACAAAGTTGTGTTGACTGCACGCCTTCGTGAAGATTTGGTGTAGTAAACAAATAATGTCTTCCTTGGTGTTGAGATTTCTTTTTAGTTCCTCATATATAATAGTTCGGTTAAGCTCATTTAACTTATTTAAAAGTGACCTCATCGCTCTCGCTTTAGCATTGCGGTTTTTCTCATTTGATACGCGGTTTTCCGCTTGTACTGAACTGGCTCGCGGCTGATAAACGCTTGCTTGAGGCTCGGTATCTTTTTGCTGGTTATACCGAAGCAACATAGAGTCAAGTTCTTTGGAGTGATAGAATTTCTGAGGTAAAGAAGTTCTAAGCGTGCAGTAAAAGTAGTTTCGCACTCTGTACATGTCATCAATGTTCCAAATAATAACTTGATTTTCTTTATCTAGCTTAGGCATTGGCCAGTTTTCAGTTGCAAGAGTAGTTGGAACCTTATCGAACTTACTGTAATCGCTAACAGAATTAACGAGTTCCCGCAAGACGTTTCCTTCCTCGACAGAGCAAGGATAACCGAAAGATTCCAGATAGTTTATTTCGCGTTTTGCATTTTTCTCTGTTGAACTGGAGAAACTGTTGTCAATATTTTCGGTTCCATGCTGATTGTTTGCTTTAGCATCTATATTATCGTTCAAAGAAGACACATCATCTCCATCGACGAATGGTTGATTTTTAACATTATTGAATATTAGGTTAGAACAGTCAGCAAATCCGTTTGTCGCGACAGAATCCGAGGTAGATAAACCAGGTTCACTGACACTGTTTCTCTTTTCTACATCATCTTTTATATAAGGATCCTTAGACAGGTTTTGATCAGATTCAGGCTTTACTAATAAAGCTTTATCCCTATGAGAGTTGATATCAGCACCGTCACTTTCTTTTATCGAGTCTGTATTGGGCTCACGAGTTAGTTCATTTGCTGATAAATTGAATTTAGTACTTCTTTTTTTTGGTCCGGCTGAATCCATTGACTTAAGGCTTTTAATAGCTTTTTCACTATTCTCCTTAGTCGTATTAGATTTAGGCTGGTTAGGGCTGAAAGGAGCAACCTTTGCGTCTTTTTTAGATTCTGTGGTTCGTGATTTACTTTTAACTTTTTTTATTTTCTCTTTTATTGGATCAGTGTTAACTGCTTTGCTGACGTTTTGCTTATTAGAGGAAGCTTTCTTTGAACTGTTCTTGGTTGAAGCAGCATCCATAAATTTTTCTTCTTCCACAGGTTTTGGCATAGCTGTACCGTTTTTACCCGTTTTTCTCCTGCGTCCAGCAGCTGTTTTATCGCTAGATGAGCGAGCGTCATCTTTTTTAGTCAAATTAAGTTTCGTATTTTGCTTGTGGTCATGAGCATTTGTTTTTTGTTCAGAGTGAAAGACAGAAATGTTTTGCTCATTGGTTACTTCCGTTCTGTGACTGCCTTCAAACAGAGAATCGTCAAGTGACTTGTGATTAACACTATATTTATTTTGATTTAGAGTGTCCGAACAGCTGAATTTATTGCGGCTTACGCTGGTAGAGTTAACCGGATCCATGTGATGTGGATGCGGGGTTCCCTTAGAAGAGTGAGTCTGGCCGTTAGAAGAAGCCAACAATGCTGATTTGCTCTCAGGAGCTAAACAAGCGTAAATAACGCCGTTTTTTTCACTAGTAACAGTTTTCTTTGAATCGGAATTGTTTAAACAGTAAAATAAAGGAATAAACGGCGCGATTGTCGCATGAGGCTTTTGGCACTCCTTGCGATTGATCTTAGCCTTAGTGTCGTATTTATCCAAAAATTCTGAATCATTACGAACCATGTTGTTCGCTTCGGAACGCTGCGAATTTTTCGTATTCCTGAAATTGTTCTTTTTCCCAGTCGTTAGCGACGTACCCGTTTCGTACGTAGCCTTTTTTGTCGAATATCCGGAAGATTCAAAAGTTTGACCCAGTGATATAACAGAAGACGCTTTTTTATTTTGTACCTTAGCATATTTTTTTAATTGTTCGCTTTTGGCGGAATGAGTTGTAACATTTGCATAGATGGATTTTTCTTTGTCGCATTTAACTATTGGTATTATGTTACTCTCTTGCGGCGTATTGTTTGCTACACCAGTGTGAGCAATTTCCTTACTAGACTTTGGCTAAAACAAAGTACATTACTTTAATTAACAGTCTTCTTTTGTCTTAACTGAGTAAAACAATAGAAAAACAGCATTATCTATGTACTTACTGAAGTCTTACAAGCACTAATTTCCTGGACTTTAATTTTAGGTCTCATCCAATAATGGAATATTACTCATTTGTGAGTTTTTTTTTTTGAATTTTCAATATCAAATTATATTGTTCAATACAAAAAAATTATCTAAAGCTAAAATTAAATTATTCATGATAAGATAGATAGCAGTTAAGATTCAATGAGAATTAATTAATAAATTCTAGTTGAACAGTTATTTTTAAACCTAAATTTTTCTTTATATAGCAAACAGATTTCATTTCGAATTAGCCTCGTAGTCTCTTTTTATTCGTGCTGTTTGGAGAATTCATCGTCCGTTTTTTTGGTTTTCGAGACGAATTAGACTCATTTTCATTATCATTCAAAAGAGATTTGATGTATTTCTTTTTAAGTATAGATTCATCAATCAGCAGTAGCTTTGCTAGCGAGGACGAAAATATTATTTCTGGCTCAGAAGTGACTATCTTTTGAATCAAAACCAGGTCCTTAACTAAAACATAATATCTACCGTCGTAAATAGTATATAAATATATTGAACCAGATGCAGTTAAATTTCTGTTAGGAAATCTACCGTAAATATTTCTTGTAAACTTTAGCTGATAACACATGATAGAATCAAATATCCGCAAAACACTCTCAACGAAGGCGTGAGAAATGATGTTCTCCGCTAGCATTTCAGCTGTAGCGTGTTGCAAACACAAGCCTAGAATGCTCCAACGGTAAAGCGTATAATCAAAAGGAAATTTATAATATTTGTCAGATTTAGACGGCGGCAAAACCTCTTTTAACGCTTCAAAGCCAAGCTCGTCGCCAGTTTGTATATTAAAATCTACTGGTTGATTCAGAGTTTTCGCAAGCTTAAAAACAGACAAATCGCTTGTGATTATTTTTGTGTTATAATCGAAGTAATCGGCAGTTCGCGCGTCGTTCAATTTTGTAAGTAAACGCTTGTCCTGCATTTATAAAAAATGTAAATTTCATGATACAACAACGAGAAAGATGATCGATTTATCACGCTGTCAAAAGCTAAGAAATAAATCGTTAATTTGACAAAACAATAAAAATAGTAAACTTCCCATACTCACTGTGGATTACCAAATTTATTGAAACAAAAAGCGAATATCATCTGCGTTTAATTTTTGGAACGAATTATTGTTGTTTCCAATAGTGCCATCGAACGCTAGTTGTTTTTTCTCTTGGAGCTGCAGGATACGTTCCTCAATTGTATCTTCTGCTATTATTCTGTAAGCGTGTACGGGCCTGGTTTGCCCTATTCTATGCGCCCGTTGAATAGCTTGCAACTCTGAAGCGGGGTTCCACCACGGATCCATAATAAAAATTTGACTTGCAACCTGTAAATTTAAACCTTCTCCACCTGCTTTAAGGGAAATACAGATTACATTTATATTTTTATTTAAGATAAATTCGTTGATCATAGAGCGACGCGCGTCCACAGTAAGAGATCCTGTGTATGTCACACATTGGATTCCTTCACGCTTGAAAGCAAACTCGATTAGCTCTAAGAATTTCGTGTATTGACTAAAAACAATTGACTTTTCCGTCGATTTTTTAATGTATTCTATGAGAGTTTTGATTTTTGTGCTAGTTTCGAAGTTTTCAGTGTTGATTTTGTGTATTAGGCTGTTGGGCTTTCGTTTAGGCTTTATCGTTTGAATGTCTAAATCGTCTTGAACAATTGTAAGTTTGTCCATACACGTGGGACATTTAATCTCGGCTTCGACGTCAATAGATTCAATATACTCATCAATACAGAGTTTGTGGAAATAATGTTTACACTTAGCCATCACTGAAGTCTCGGCATCTATAGCTTCGAAACAAAACGAGCAGTTTAATTCTTTTAGATTAACACTTTTAGATGGCAGCTGTCTTTGATTAAGATCGCTGTGAATTATCAAATAAGGATGATTAACTGATTGTCTTAATCGGCTCAGCAAGTCGAAAATGTGAGCAAAGTTGTGTAACACTGTACCTTTTTCGACGAAGCAGTTGAACTCGACCTGAGTTTTAGCATATATCGCAGTATAAAAATCCATTTCCGGGGCGGAAAGTTTTCGTTTGTCTATTTTAATGATCAAAGGCGGAAGTTTTATATCTTCTACTCGTTCAACTTTAGTTCTACGTAGCATTAGCCTACTAATTACTTGGTTTCGCAGAGTAACGAGCGCTGTGTAACCTGCCCCGATAGAACCGTGGTTTATTATTGGTTTTGTAATAGTCTTTGTAAAAAAACTGTAATGATTTATTCTAGTATGGTGACACGCTAAACAAGCGGATTTCTCGTTGAATACATGATCGCTGAGCATACAACCACATTTTGGACGATTACAAAAGTAATAACCATACGGGTAATATTCTAGAAATCTGAGCAATGCGTGAAGTTCTTCTATTCTGTTTTGCAACGGAGTACCAGTCAAGCACCACTTAGTACCGACACACTTTAGCGCCATCGCGCTTCTTGAAGTGTTGTTGGTCAAGTTCTTTATACGATGAGCTTCATCCAGTACTATTCTGCGCCAAGGATATATATGGAGAGGGCTAGAAGATAAATCAATTTCTTCATCAGGTCGTATTACCTTAGTTTTAGTAACATTCATGTATTCTTCCATATAAGCCATTAATGCTTTTACACAGTCAACTTTAAGAGGCTTTTTCTTTCCGGTTGATGTTACATTTATTCCAAAAACCTCAATGTAATAACTTAGCTGTTTCATAGTTAAATTGTTCAAATTCTGTTCTCTAGCAAATTTTTTCATCGCGATTTGTTTTAAATCCTCATAAATTTCTTCATCACTGCCCGTCATCGTTTCAGTTTCATCCAACACTACTTTACTTTCAGCTTTAGCCGAATCGACTATTTCAGAATCTGAAACATCAGAATACTCAAGTGCTGAGGACTCAGAATCAAAAAAAACCGCATCAGAAGAGTTTTCAGACAAAGGAGTGTCGTAATCATCAATAGCGTCGAGAACTTCAGAGTCTGTTACTCCTGTTGCTTCAGTTCGTATTTTCTTCAACCTATTTCCATTCGAATTTTTACTGCCTAACCAAGGCACAGCGTTAAGTTCTTCTAATTCATCCATTCGCCCAGCCTTGACTAAAATTTCTTTATATATATTACTGATGGTAGGAGTCTTATTTTGGAAATCTACTCCCGATATAACTTTTCGTTCTTGTTTAGCTTGAGCGCTTGTCTTTCGCGCATTCTGCCCACACATGTATTTTAAATGAATAACTAAATTTTTAGGAAGATATTTGCGACCACAATTTGGACAAACTACTTTCGTTTTATCAGCAACTTTTCTATATTCGACTTCTAGACAATTATAATTAGTGATTACAACATCAACAGAACCAAAGTTGTTCACCTCTAAACTTCGATTTGGACCGTGATATACTAATACTTTTAAAGACGGCGCAAATTTCTCTAATTCAGATTTCCATTGATACACTGCGCCGACAGGGCATACAATTAATGTTGCATACGCTTTTTTTGCAACAGAAAATTCGTTGTCGTAAATGTTAAATTCATTTTCATTTACTTCTGTTTCATTACAAAAAAGTTCGTTTTTTTTTGACAAAATATAGTGATGTAAATGATTTTTGTGAAAACGCTTTAGTTCAAAGAGACAGTTTTTTTCTATTTCTTTAACAGTTTGGTTAGCTTCAGTGCTTGAAAATTTATTATAGAGAAGAAGAGAAATCGTTTGAATCGTTTTACCCATACCCATTTCGTCGGCCAGAATACCGCCGCCGAACTTGAAATCAGCTTCTTGCTGAACCATCCATCCTAAACCTTCTTGCTGAAATTTGAATAAATCACAGTGTAAGCCTTCTACGTAACTTATTGGTTGGGCTTCGCATTTAAATAGAGATTCATCATCCATCTCAACGGTCTGAACAGGTTGTATTGCAGCTTCAAAAAATTCATTTTGGTCTTTTTCTGACAAAGCTTTCAAGCCATGACAATATTCTAAACAAAAATTCACAAAGTCTTGTTTCAACTCATCTATATTTTTTGAAGAGACTTTAAAAAAATTAGAAAAAAAACTTTGAACAACGTAATTAGAACATTTCATATGAATCCAAGCTGCCACTGCCCCGTACTTACCACGAGGATCTCTAATTGGATAGCAAAGACGATAGAAATTCTTTTCAATTTTTTCTCCACATACTCGACATGTGGCAGCGCTCGTTGGAGATTTTTGGATTGCAAACCCAGCCTGAGAAAAGTTATTTATAATACTTTTGGCAACTTTATTGTCATTGATAATCCAAACTCTTTCTCTTTCATTCCAATATGCATTATCATACAAAAAGTACGATCCTTTGTGAAACTGCATGAACTTAGAACGAAATGCAATCTTGTTTATAATTATATATAAAATAAAAAGAACACATTCAAAATTTTTTTCACAAAATTTTTAGATTTTTATAATATTATATGATAAGATATTTATAATACAAATTGCTCATCATAACGCTTGATTGAAGCATCAAAGTTTAATGTTTTTAAGCACATGGTTGTGTTTAACATTGAAGAATTAAAAATTTTCTTTCCATATGACTATATATATCCGGAGCAGTATGTTTATATGCGACATCTCAAAACTACCCTTGACACCAAAGGACACGGTGTGCTTGAGATGCCAACAGGAACCGGAAAAACTGTGTGTATTATGTCTTTATACTCATCTTATCAATTAGAATATCCAGAAAAACTGGAAAAGTTTTACTTTTGCACTCGAACTATTGGTGAAATGAACAAAGCATTGTTTGAGTTGCGATGTGTTCTTAAATATCGATTAAAAATTCTTGTTACGGAGTTTCTCGAAATGTTAAGACAAAATTTGGACGTAGAAGATATGATCGACAAAATTAATCGTGCGAACGTTTTAGCCTGTGCATTGTCAGCTAGACGCAACCTTTGTGTAAATCCCACTGTTAACATTTTAGGAAACAGAGACAAAATTGATGAAAAGTGCCGTAGTTTAACCGTTCCTTGGGTTCGTGAACGTTTTTACGATAAGAAAATTCCAAACGTACGCAAAGCTTATGATTACCCCGGCTCGAATATGAAATTGAAAAAATCTTTTGACGCCGATGAATCCGAAAAAAGTTTGGAAGCTAATAACTATGTACACGACATTGAAGATCTGTATAACAAGATATACTCGAAAACAGAGTGCTCGTTGTGCCCTTGGTATGAAAGTTTCAAGTTATTTTGGATTCCCGAAAACCTGCCGAACGATGTATATACTATAGATGATATGAAAATTATCAGTCGTGGAGTGACTAATCACGTTGAAAAAGAATACAGCTCATCCCTACACAACATTTTGCAAGAACTCAATGTAGATCCAGCAATCATTGAAAAATTTTTTCCAAATCACGTTTTACAGGCGAAGCGACTAGAAACAGCTGACCCGCTACGATCTCGTTTTTGTCCTTATTATGCCACGAGAGAATTAAACAACATAGCCCAAATCGTGGTTTTGAATTATCAATATGTTTTAGATCCTAAGGTCAGTCGTGTAGCGATGGGTTATGAATATTCTACTATGAACCCACTTGCACTCAACAAAGTGAATGGACAATTGAGCGATCAAGTTTGTGCTATCAAAAAACCTCACGCCATCGTGTTTGACGAAGCGCACAACATAGACAACGTATGCATAGAAGCGCTTACAATTAAAATATCTTCTGTCGATATTGAGCAAGCTAAAATTTCCATAAAGAAACTACAGAAGTTAATTGAGGAGAACGAGCTGCAGGAAACAAACAAGTTGACTGAACAGCTCATAAAAAGTGTAACGGCAGAACAAGAAGAGCAATACGCCAAAATGGTTAATGAATTCTTGAATTCGCCGCTCTTGCCTGAAGAACAAAGCAAACTCAGCAAAACAATTCCCGGAACGATCCGAAAAAACCGATTGTTTTTGAATAATTTATTGATGATGATCGTTTACTTAGACTCATACGTTAAAGTAGTTACTGTAAACATTGAAGGTCCTTTGATGTTTTTGAAAAAAGTCGAAGATACGCTTTCAATAGAAGCATCCACCCTTTCCTTGTATTCCGAGCGTTTGAAAAACTTGCTCTCCTATTTAAAAATTACAAATTTTAATGAATATAGTAGTTTAACTAAAATAACAGACTATTGTACGCTAGTATCTACATATTATAAAGGTTTCATTTTAATTACAGACCCATACCCAGAGGCGCCAGGAATTTATGATCCCATATCTCAACTAGCGTGCATAGACTCATCTTTGTCTATGAAACCTGTTTTAGACAGGTTTCAGTCTGTAATGCTTACAAGTGGAACTATAAGCCCGCTTAATTTATATCCAAAAATACTAAAGTTTGTGCCCACGATTCTTCAAAGCTTAAACATGTCTCTCGAGCGCGAGTGTATTTGTCCAATCATAGTGAGCAAAGGATCGGACAATATCCCGCTAAGTTCAGTGTTCGAACTTAGAGATGACGTGTCTGTGATCCAGCAATACGGTCGTCTTATAACGGATTTATGTGAAATAATTCCTGATGGAATAGTTTTATTTTTTACATCATACGCATATATGGAAAACGTGCTGAGTCATTGGAACAGCGACGGGGTTATTGATAAGATATTAGCTAACAAGCTGATATTCATGGAAACGAAAGACTCATTGACAACATCGTTAACGCTAGACTCTTACAAAAAAGCTTGTGATATTGGACGAGGCGCAATATTTATGTCGATCGCTAGAGGAAAAGTTGCAGAAGGTATAGATTTTGATAGGCACTATGGAAGAGCTGTAATTTTGATTGGGGTTCCATATCAATACACACTTAGCCACGTATTGAAAAGTCGGCTTTTGTTTTTAAAGGTTCAGTATCAAATAGACGAAGGTGAGTTTTTGGCGTTTGACGCTATGAGACAAGCGAGCCAATGCTTAGGTAGAGTTATTAGAAACAAACTGGATTACGGGTTAATGATTTTGGCGGACTACAGATATGCAAAAAACGACAAGCTAACAAAGCTTCCTGAATGGGTTAAAGCTAACCTCACATCGGACAGAGTTAACATTATAGCGGATCACGCAATTTCATTATCAAATAATTTTTTACTTGAGATGAGTCAGCCCCATGTTCAGTCATTGAAAACGCGTCTCAACCAAGCTGCGTTGACAAAGTTATCGCTCTTAGGAAATAAAGCCACAAATAAATAAGCGCTTATTTTTATCATTGCATATTAATATTCGTAAACCAATAAATAAAAACCAACATTTTCGTTAAAACTTGTGCGGCATTGGTTTTTGACGATTTTTAGCAAAGTCACAGTTATAAATAATAGTTTCTTTATTATACAAGCAGAATGAAAATAAACGACAGATAGATATTGTCATGAGCGATGAGATAATAAAAAAAAAAATCGTGTTAGCAACGTATGCATTTAATTTGCCGTTGGAGTTGCGTGATAACTTTAATGGGGCTACTCACGAATGGACGTGTTTATTACGCGGTCGAGAGCCGTGCGATGATTTGAGTACGTTCATAAAACGTGTCACGTTTACGTTACATCCATCTTTCATAAGCGCTCAACGGGTATGCGAAAAGGGTATGCCGTTTTCTGTGCAAGAGCATGGCTGGGGAGAGTTTGAAATAAGTTGCAAACTTACTTTTATAGATCCGGACGAAAGGTCTGTTGAGCTGAAACACCATCTCAAACTTTACCCTGAAAACACTTTGGACATTAGTACTGTTCCGATACCAGACATCAGTACGTATTTAGAAAATTGTGTTGTTGCAGAAACACATGATGAGTTAATTTTTCGAAACCCGAGCAAACAGATGAGAAGTGCCATATTGGAAAGTTCGATTCAGCAATTACCGCCTCATTCGCTTTCAAGATTTTTTGTTAGCGAAGTTTCTAAAGAAGAAGCGGAGTTTATTAGTATGCACATGTTGCTGCAACACAACTTACGCAATGAAGTAGATCGATTGAAGAATGAACTTTTGGAAAAAACAGAATATCTGTACAGTTTGATGAATATATATTACGCGTGCAGACCAGACAAGGCGCTAAGTTTATTAACCATGAACCCGCAAATATTTAGTTTATGTTCATTGAGTCCGGTCAACAACAACGAAAAAAATAATTTAATTAAGCAAATAAGAGAGCTGACAAAAGATGTTTCGACAAATCAAAAGAATAATTGTCCTATTTCTGGTAGAAAAATTGACGAATGTATTGAAATTTACTCGCGCTTGGTAGAGAATGGTTTATTGGAACCGCTTTCTAACAACGACACAGGGGTAAAATCCAAATATTAAGAAAGTCATATATTTAATTAAACTCACAATCATAGTTTTGACAAAAAACAAGCGAATGATCAAACGAATTTTAAGTCTTTGTTTTTATAGTCTGGGTGAAGATGTCTGTTAGCATTGTAATGTTTAATAAGCAATCCTAGAATGCGTTGATGTTCTTCTTTAATTTCTTCTACTGTTGGTTTTCTATCTCGACAGTCTTTTACAGGGATTATCTTACTGTAAACTTGAACCATCTTAGTTTTATTGGGAATGAACGAGAAGAATTTCCCTGTAAAAAAAGTGATGCTAATTCTGAACATTCTGCTAATCCGTTCGGAAGCTAGCAATTTTAGTCTATACGTGGCGGTATTCCCATAGATATATAACAAGCAAATATCGCAACCAGCCTCCATAGCGGCTGCCACACAACCTGCTCGATGATTAAAGTATGAATATTCTTCGTCTGGAGAAGACAGAAACAGCTCGGCGAGCCCTCCAGGATGAATAGAAACATAAGATTTTTTTTCTTTTAATTCTTCGACGATTTTCTTTTTGTGCGGACTGATTAGATTGAATGGGCTAAATAATTGGCGAAGTATTGGAAATTTTGTTAGCGCGTCTGCAACAACTGTTTTTTGTTTCAAATCTGGGATTATGCAAGAACATAAAGCGCCAAACGAAACAATTCCATGCGGGAAAATCAGAAACATAAACGGCTTCTTATTTTTTCGATATTTTTCAGGATCGTCAGCCATATATACCTCTGTATCAAAAAACAACGCTATAGATCGATATATTTTTGAGTCATATGCTGGCATTCCGAGCTTAGCAGGTAAAAAAAGCAGTAGTAGCATAATAATAGTATATAATATTGATTGCCATGACTTGATTCCGAACATTACAGGCATTGCAGGCCAGATTATTATGATAAACGCACTGACGAAATACATAGATGAAATAAATCCAGCAAAAAAACAGCCAAACAGTTTCCAAAACCAGATTTCATGTTGTTTAAACCCGTCCTGAGCTCTATAATACAACTTAGGGCTTTGTTCCTCGATCTCATCTTCCAAGAGTAGTTTCTTTCTGTTTTCAACTCGATTACTCTCAGCGCTGTGGTCTAAAGCCTTCAGATTATTTGCGATTGCATTTTTTTTTTCCATGTTGACACGGTATTGAACCAATGTACTTACATGGTAAATATGTTTATTTAGTTTGGGTCGATTTAAAAGGGACATAATACTATATTTTTTTAAATAATATATGCCAATCGCCTAAGTAAACATTCTACGTTTAAGTAGATTTAGAAAGCAAACTAAGAATAAATAATACACATTAAGTCATTAAAGATAAAAAGAAAAAGCAATATCAAATATTTATTCAAACACGGAAATAACTATTTTGTATTGATTAATTTTTAAATATTTTCTCAATTTTTCCCCGCATAGGGCTAGTGCTTGACAGATTGTTTTTATTAATTTTAAAAATCGAGCAATTAGAAAAATGGAATTTGTAAACAAAATCAAAGACGTTTTCAAAGATATCAACTTTCTGAAAAATTCAGATGATTTCGGTCCGAACGAAATTGAAACTGATACAGATAATGAAGAAAATAACAATGACGTAGACGACGAAACTAAAAAAAAAAAACACAACTCGATATTCAACGCGTTTAGTTCACTATTTCTTTGGTTTTTAGCGAGATTTGAGAATTTTACCTTACTAACAAAACTGTTATGGTATTTGAGTAATATATTTGTAATTAAAACTCAACCAGCAATTTTTAAAAATTATCCTTTTTTCACTTATTCAGAAGAGAGAAAGCTAAAAAATTTTATAATCAGAAAAAAAATTCAAAAGAGATCATTATCAGATCAGTTATTTTTTAAACTTCAAATTGATAATTTATATTTAAGTGAACTACATGAACCTGGTGTATATTATTTGAAAATAGAATTAGGAGGTACTAAAACAGGTTATTTTATCCCTCTCAAGTGGTTTCGTAATCAGTTTCAACTGAAATTTTTTGGCGAGTCTGGACAATTTCGCCAGACAAATTCTTACTATATACCTGAAAACGGAGCGAAGTATCTTCAGAACAGTTTCGAACTTGATTACAAAGACTCCTTAAATACTTTAAAAGATTCTAGCTTGCACTTTTACTTGTACGAGTCTAGTTCGATTACACATACATCATGCATTGGTTACACGAGCATTAACCTTTATACATTAGTCACAAGCCAAATTGAACAGAATCTGTCTTTTTATTCGAACAAAAAAAAACTGTTAGCTAACTTGTCTTGCAACGTTAAGTTTAACGTGGTTTGCCATATGGGTTTGGTCATGTCTGACACCTACATTAAAGGTTTCGGCACATACGAATTGACAGAAAACGAATACGAGCTAAAATTGACTTGTGTCAAGTCTAACGAGATGTCAAATTATTTCACGTCTTGTTGGGATAATAAAAACCGGATTATGATTTGTCAAAATGGTGACGACGTTGAAAGTGCAACTTTAGTTCCTAAAAAAATTTCTGACAATTGGAATAGTCAAGAGAATAAAAATGACAAGAAATTGCTACCTTTTTGGGTAAATGTTACACGAACTAGTGATTTATCTAATGAGCATATAAGTTATGAATTTGATCATACCAGTGATTCAGATGATAATATTTCGATTAACAGTGCAGATCGTACACTTTTAAGAAGTAAAGCGGACATTCTAGAATCTGATTCTTTAAACAACTTATTAAAACCTTGTTTAGCTTATGGTTGGTTATACATATCTGGAACCATTACAGATTTGATCAATTGTCAATATAAGATTCAAATATTCAAAAAAAAAGATTTAGCTAACGTTATCGCAGAAGGATGCGTATCGGTTTTAGGTTTGTTGTCTTCGGACGCGATTGAACTAAACAACTACTGTTTGAAAGATCCCTTAACTAAAAGAGATATCATCCATCTTTATGGTAAAATAAGACTTTATGGAAAATCAAGCATTCGACAAATCATGACAAATAGTTTTTTATCAAAAGAAAATATCATATTTTTTCAAGTAAATGCAGAAAAATCAGAACAAGAATTAGATAACTTAGCAAGCACAACGCTGGAGTGGTCCTACATCCGAGTTGATCACGACCAAATTTTAGCTCATGGATCTTGTTCTTTTTCAGAACCATTTTTAATAGGATTAGACGAAATAATGATCAGTTTATTATCTGATGATCCAAATTTCTGGCACAACATCTACAACAGTGTTACCACCCATGAATATAAAATATCTAAAAATACAATATTGGACATCGTTCGAAGATTGGATTCAGATTCATTAGAAAATATACTTTCTAAGTATATTTTGTTGATCAAAGTTTACACTTCACTACATAATGTAGCTATCAACTATAAGGGTCGTGATGAATCGCTTAAATTGCCTCGAACTTTGTGTGGCTGGACTTGCTTGACACTCATCGATTTGATAAGACAATTACTGCCATCTCGATATGAACTACATCATTCAGCTTGGTTGAACAAACCAGGCAGTGCAAAGATTAAAACTAACATTAAGCTAAATTTAAAAATTCAGTTTGTCAACATTGATTGTTTTCAACTTGCGTTGAAAAAGAAAAGTAGTGCTCTAAGTCATATGAACTATTTAACTTCGTACATTGAACTTTCAAATACGCTGTACCAAAAAAAGTTCAAAAATAGACATAAGTTTTTCAATACGTTATATGGTGAACAAACACACCCCATTTGTTTAAAACAAGATAATAACATAAAACAATTTATTAAGTTCGTCAAAAAGAACTACAATAATAGTTTCTACGATATGTTCCAACTATACATCAAAGTAAAAGAAATCAAGATTTTTGATCATTCAACAGATTATATCCTTCATCCAGCCGAAATTATCAAAAGTGCTGCGGCTAATCCAATTGATATATGTTTCTTACTATTGTCAGCAGCGTCAAGCATGAATAGAAATTTATTTGTCATACACGGAGAAGTATTTTTACAAAAAAAAACTCATTGGTTATGTGTAGAAATAACGAATGACAATAAAATTATTGTATATTATCCAGACATAGCGGAAATTGTTTATATTAATAACAGTGAACATGTTGTTTTGCCAGACACGATTTTTCAATCAAAAATAATCTTTAATGTTTTACCACGTGGTATTGATACAATTAAATCAATATTCTCAACACAGTTGGAATACAAACCTATTAGGCAATTCTCATTATCTAATATATTGTTATACATTGAAAGTGACGGTTTAGAGTTTTTATCGTCAAATAGATTCGTACCTCTTGAGAACTTATCTAGTGAAGTGTGTAATAGAAAAATGCTTATCGATCTAGAAAATAAAATTGATCTGGTTAAACGAAAAATGAATAGCAACATGGAGCAGCTTACTGAGTATTTTTCGAAACAATTAAATGATGAACTCGAGACATTTATTCAAGAATCGTTAGGTATTGAAATTGTCGATGAACTTAATCAATTTCTCGATTACATACTAAGTTTGAACGACACAGACACGATTTTAAACACCTTACGAGCCAGTACACCTGAAATCAACGCGCTTGAAAAAGCTTCAACCCGATACAACTCATACACCAATAGAGTTACTTTTCTTTTTTATGCGTCACCAACTTGTGACGTTGTAGAAATAAAGAATGAATTGGAGGAACAATTAAAAAACTATAAACTGAGCTCAATTTCATTAAAATATAAATTAGTAGAAACTGAATTTTCTTACAAAGTAGAAGGTATCATATTATTGAGACATAATTATAAACAAATGTATGAGGATGATTTTGATAAACATAATTGGAAGACTGTTCAAATATTGATAGAAAATGCGTTCATTAAATCTAGAGATTATAACTTATATCAAAACATCGAAATAGCTGACCATATTGAATATTTGGAATCTATTATATACAAAAGTTTAGAAGATAAGCCTGATACATTAGTTAATAAATCTAAGTCTAATGATACTCATGATAACGGAAGTATGAATATGCATTTCACAAATAAAACTAAGGAAGAAATAGACGTTAATATCACTAACAAATCTACAAATAAAGACAAACTAGCAGATTATTTTAAAGCTTTGAATAACCTTAACAGCTAGACTCATCAATAATAAAAAATCAAGTCAATATTTTACAAAAAAATAAAAGTCTAATTATTTAGCTCGATATTACGTTACTTTGTTAAAAAATACATACCAGAGAATATTTAAGTATAGTATATAGCTAGTATAATTAAAAAAAAATATAAACAGATTATGGCTTCTTTATATGGAGAGATTGGCGAAGATATATGGGAGTCTGTAGACGATGATGACTTTGTTGAATATGCAACTAACAACATTAGTGCAAATTTTTCTAAAGAGTATTATCCAGAATTTAGTTCTAAACTAAAAGAGATTGAGTCCAATGACTACTGTTCTAACACGGAAACATTTTCAGCTATAAATGAAGATTTTAGTTCTACAAATAAAATAATAGACAATAATAAACTACTACTTAGAAAACTGTGGGCAATTGAAAATAATGATAATGTGGAAAACTTTGATGAGATTTTTCCCGTTGAGAAAAGAGCTTTGACATATCCTTACGAATTAGATATTTTTCAAAAAAGAGCTATATTATGTATTTCAAGGTATCAACATATTTTAGTTTGCGCTCACACTGGTTGTGGTAAAACAGCCGTAGCAGAATATGCAATAGCACAATGTAAAAAAAATAATTATAGAACGATTTACACGTCTCCTATAAAAGCTCTGTCTAATCAAAAATATAATGATTTATCACGACAATTCGATTCTATAGGAATAATCACCGGAGACGTCTGTGTTAATAAATCGGCACAATGCTTGATAATGACAACAGAGATACTTAGGAACCTACTTTATAGAAGAGACCCAATGCTAAATGAAGTTGGAGCGGTCATATTTGATGAAGTTCATTATATTTCTGATGCAGCACGAGGTGTGATTTGGGAAGAATGTATAATTATGATGCCTAGCCATATAATTCTTGTAATGTTATCTGCAACAATTAGTAACGCAAAGCACTTTGCTAATTGGGTTGGAATGACCAAACAAAAAGAAGTTTTTATTATCAGAACGTCGAAAAGAGTAGTTCCGTTAATACACTATATGTATTTTAATAATAAGCGTTATCAACTCATCAACAATAATCAGCAAACAATAACTCAAGCATATAAGCAAATGTATAATGATCTTCGTATGGCTGAAATCATTAAAGATGGGAAACAGCAAAACAATAAAAAGAACAATTTTGCAAAAAAAACAGATATGAATAAATACAATTTTGCAAATGAAAAACAAGTACTTCAAAAATTAGTATCTTATTTGATTAGTACAGACTCATTACCCGCCGTGGTTTTTTGTTTCAGCCGTAATAAGGTAGAACAACTGGCACAAAAATTGTCACCACTTTCAAATTTTACTCACAAAGAAAAGTCAAAGGCTAGAAGTTATTTTCAACACGCACTAGAATGTTTATCAAAATCTGACAGAGATCTTCCAGCCGTTAAACTGATTCAATCATTAATGGAAAAAGGTATAGGTATACATCATGGTGGAATGCTTCCAATACTTAAAGAAATTACTGAAATTTTAGTATCTAAAAAATTGATCAAAGTTTTATTTGCCACAGATACGTTTGCCATGGGAATTAATATGCCAATGCGCACAGTGGTACTAAGTGAACTGAAAAAACACGATGGATCGAAAACACGTTATTTACAATCAAATGAATATATCCAAATAGCTGGAAGAGCCGGCCGTAGGGGTCTAGATAACTTTGGACATGTCTACATTCTTGTATCTCAAAAAGAACCAACCCCCCTTAATGATTTAGTTAAGATTTTGAATTTCAAGCCACTGGCCTTAGATTCTAAATTCCATCTTAACTTTTCTATGGTACTTGAAATTCAAACTCGAAGTAGCATTGATCCAAGCTTAATTCTCGGTTCTTCTTTGAATGAATCTACAAGACAATCCGAATATAGATTTCACAAACATCAAATCAAGCAGATACTCAATGAAATAGATGAAATAACCAACGCATTAACGCTGGGGATTGATAAAACTAAACTAGCAGAATTTACTAACTTAAAAAGAAGGTATTATAAATATGCTCAGAACGCATTTGTTCATTTATTACATACATCTAAATTATTTAAAAATATTTTTCAACCCGGAAGGTTAGTGGAATTCGTATTTACAGAAAACATTTCAGCAAATTATTTTGCCGTTATTTTATCTAATCCTTCGAAAAGCGGTATTTATTTTTTAGTTTTTTCTAACGAAGATCTCGATCTACATTATTCTGAAAGCGTATTGCACACATATGAATTAGACGACAAAAAATCAACAGTACATATATACAGCTTAGCATTTATCATTAATGGTAAGATACAAAACGTATCATCCTTGCATAATCATGTAAATGAGCATAGCAAAAATAACCTGGCGGAATCTATTAAGAAACTAACTCCAGAGTTAAATAATTCGTCATTTTTTTTCGAGCAGAATAATGATTTGTATTTTAATAATGATGAATTAGCCAACAAAAATATCGGCGCTATTGAAAAAATAGATTTTTCGAGCTACCTTAAAATAGAAGACGTGCGTATCATCGAACAGAACATAGTATCTGCATTAGAAAATCCTAGTTTGTACAACTTTTATGATCATCAGAAATCAGTTTCATACGAAGCAGCCATTGAACTTGCCCAGCTTGATAAAATTACCAATGAATTAAAAGAATTCGACGAATTTCTTCAAATCAAATATTGTAGAGACGTATCATTTCAGAACAAAATTGATGAACTAAAGTGTCAGATAGATCGAATTGAATATAGAATATCAGATGAGTCTTTGAAACTATTACCAAACTACCAAAACATCTTGAGCTTACTACGAGAGTACAAGTTTTTAGATGAGCAAAATTTTCCAACGATAAAAGGACGAACTGCGACAGAACTCATTTTTAAAGATGAAATAGTTTTAGTAGAAGCTTATTTCGAAAATATATTCGCAGATTTAACACCTGCAGAAATTGGAGGGATCTTATCAATGTTTGTGTGCCAATGTAAAGTTCAAAGTAACTTTGAATGCGACTACAGATCAGAGTTTCTCGACAAAGTTGACGAGGTCCTAAAATTAAACAACGAGTTCCAAAACAGATGCAGTGAGTTACAAATCAAGCTAAATGATGAAAAATGGGAGTTTATCTGCAACGACTCGTTTATACCAATCGCTTACAATTGGGCCAACGGACACAGTTTTCAATTAATTAAAGAATATACGACATTAAATGAAGGACTAATTGTAAGTACTTTACTGAGATTAGTTGAGTTGGCAAAAAAATTCAGTCAAGTATGTCACGCTTTGAATAACCAAGATTTAGAGACAAAAGTTTCAGAGACAATAAAATTAATTTCTCGAGGTATAATATTCACTCCCAGTTTATATTTACTGCATTCTAATAAGGACGATTAAATGAGTCACTAAAAATGAGCAAACTTTGTCTAAATAATTTAATTATAATTTTTCGATAAGAAATTCTAGAAAATATATTTAGACTATTACTTCTATAATTATGCTAATTTTGGTTTGAAATTCACTGGATCCAAACAAACTTAAATTATTGGGATAGAACTAGAAAAACCAATCATATATTCCTTATATTACAACTAAAACTACTAGGTAATATTTATAATATCTATTTTTAAATAAATGTCGCTTGTTACAATTACAAATGCGGAAATTAAGAACGCCAATCCAAGTACTTTATTCACGCCTTTCATACTTGAGATTACATTTCGCTGTACAGAAGATCTACAGGTCCCCTTGGTGTGGAAGCTGATCTATGTTGGATCTCCTGAATCAAAGGAATATGACCAATTACTGGAACAATTTGAAATTGGACCAATTCGCAAAGGTACTGTAAAATTCAATTTTCAAGCTGAAGCACCTAATTTCAAGCTTGTTGATAAAGAGTATATACATGGCACAACGATTTTACTGCTTGAAGTGAGTTATAAAGGTCAAGAATTTATTAGAATTGGATGGTACATACACAACGCATATACAGACCCAGTTCTTGAAGATGATCCACCGGAAGAAGTAAATTTACAATTAATGCAAAGGTACATTGTAGTTGATCAACCAAGACTTACGAAATTCAGTATTGATTGGAATAAAGATTAGCCAGATTTATACCTACTAACTAACTAATCAAAAAATTCATTCTAAAAATAATTCGTCAAGCTTGCTAAATGCTGATTTATGTTTTAGATTTTTGTTCTTTTCAATAACTTCATTACTATCAAAGAAATCTAGTAAATGTTGTTTTGAATTATTTTTTATTATTTCAACGGTCTTTGTTTCTAATATGTTATCTTTTTTTAAATTTGTCGAATCGTAATGTTTTTCGTTAGTGGTTTTTTTAATATTATCATAATAATGCAAATCTTGTCGTTGACAATTAGTAAATTTCAAATAGTTTTCTTGTGTATTATATGTAAGACCAAATGAATAATTCGATTTTTTATAGTTCAAAGCATCGATTTTAAAATGGTTATGTAAATTATTATAATTTAAATTAAAGCTATTATTCTTTTCAAATTCTTCTAACTTAGTTCGTTCGAGCTTTAGTAATTCACTATTTTCTAAACAATTGATAATTTTTTCGGCTGTTTCCCGTATATTAGCCCCAACAGAGATTTGGTTGGTCATATATTTAAACATAGTCAAATTTCTGAATGTCAAAATATTTAACTGACATTCGTTATAAAATTCAATTGGACCTAATAATAAAATAAAATATATAGTGGTCAACGCTTTGTTTATCGATTGAAACTTATCAGGACGATCTTTAACGGCTCTCCATATACAGCCTCTCACAATGGTGTAGACATTACTAAAATGATATTAACAACAAACATACTGATCATTGCATGCAGCAGCTAATTTACGTATTTTCGATAAATTCAAATGAGCATGGTTTGGGTTTAAAATTTCTTCTAATAATTGTTGCAATGGATTTGTATTCGATCTAACGACAACTCAATATTGATAAACGTACGGAAGTGGATACCAACTTTTTATCGAATTACGAAGTGAAGCCCACCAATAGTTATTCTGAAAAACCATAGTTTGATATATAAATTTAAATAATTTTGTTACTTAATTACATTTGAAGTTGCCAAATAAGATCATTTTTGATCGTCTGAAATAAAATACAAATAAAAATAAATTTTTGAACAGATAATTATTAAAATATTATTTATTAATTTTTGAGTATTAAAGCAAGGAATAAAATTAAAATAATAAAATAAATAAAACTGATAAAAGCATTCAATAACGAATTTTCCTTTTTATAGTTAAAAAAATATTTAATTAGATCCATTCATGTTAACAAATCAAGAAAACATCGGTGAACCGCCTTTTGAAACTGAAGCTTCCAAAGCCAAGCGTAAGCTTCGTAAAAGACTGTTAAAGCAGTTTAAAAGAGAAGGTCGCCTAGATTTGGTAGAAAATATAGATGAAGAATTAGAAAAATATATGCAGAACGAAAAGTCTGCCTTGAACATCGAAACTGATTTCAAGACGAAAATATCGGATTCTACTTCTGCAAGCGAAGCAACTGTTGCAAACGAATACGAGACTCATCACGAAACCGAAGAGGAAGAGAGCAATGAAGTAAAAATAAATGCAAGTAATGTAGGCATAATATCGACTTTTATTTGCATTACACAACAAATTCAAGCTTTAACAGAACAAAAAGAAAGTCTACTTCCATTTATTCCAAAAGAGATTATTGAAAAGGTGACAAAGCGAAAACGTCGAGCTTCATCCCAACTGATTATTGTTCCCAAGAAAAGAAAGGTAACTGCTTACTTGATGTTTTTCAGAGACATCAAAAAAGACGAGCCAAATATTTCTATGAAAGAGGCTGGTAACAAATGGAAATTGCTACCAGAAGAAGACAGAAAAAAATATAAGACGATAGCAGACGAGCGCAACGAAAATATTGAAAACAATATTAAGTCAGACGAATTATAAATAATTATATAATTGATACAATTATAGTTGCTTATGGCTTAAAATTTTATGCAAGCGTAAATATAAAAATATTTATATTAACTTAAAATTCATATAATTTTATTGTTTATACAATGTCGTATGCAAAACTTCATATTCAACAGGAGATAGAGCTCAAAATTCAGGAGTTGTGGGATAAGGAAAAAATATTTGAGACTGATGACTCCCTACCTAATGCTAACAAGTCTTTCATCACGTTTCCTTATCCATATATGAACGGGAGACTCCATCTTGGTCATTCATTTAGCTTGACCAAATCTGAGTTTTCTTCGAGATTTAGAAGACTCGTTGGCGATCACACTTTATTTCCTTTTGGATTTCACTGTACTGGCATGCCTATAGCAGCTTCTGCAGACAAAATTAAAAACGAAATAAATGATGGTTTTTTTTTAAATAAGGATGTAAAAAAAAATGATAGAAAGAATACTGATTATCAGGCCAACTCATTTAAACGATCAAAAGAACAAGCAAAAAGCGGTTGCCATAAGTATCAATACGAAATATTGCAGCAAATAGGTATTCCTGATGAAGAAATACCACTTTTTGCTAATAGTGAACATTGGCTTAGATATTTTCCAAATCTAGGAAAGTTTGATTTGAAACGATTTGGTGTGTCAGTTGACTGGAGAAGATCGTTTATCACTACTGAACTCAATCCGTATTATGATCAATTTGTTCGCTGGCAGTTTACATTGCTACGAGAACGAAACAAGATAAAATACGGTATTCGATCTGCAATTTTTTCTACTGTTGAATTTCAGCCTTGTGCTGACCATGACAGATCGAGCGGAGAAGGTGTTGTTCCTGAAAGCATTCCATTATGCTTATTGAAAGTTGAATCTGACAAAATTAAAAAATTTATTAAAGAGCACGTAACTCGCGATATAAAAATCTATCTACTAGTTAATTTTCCTATTGTTGATGAAGCGGGAAAAATTTCCAAAGAAGTGTATTTCTCTAGTTTGAATAAACAATGTGCATTTTACGGGTATAGTCAACCTATAGTGCCTAATGTTTCTGAAAAGTGTGATAAATTTGTTTCTTATTTTGAAATGTCAGAAGAAGAAATAAAAAATACTTGTGATATCATTTCTATCTGTGACAGGGCTTGTGCTAGAAATTTAGCTTTCCAGGGAAGAATGCCAGTTTGTTCTAATATAAAACAACCTCTTGAAATAACTGTAATACCGTTTGAAGCATTAATTGGAGAGAAATTTTCTTCCGATTGTGCGCAGATAGGTTCCTTGACCGGAGCAAGTTTTGCCACGAAAGAAACTTTGATCTCGGCTTCAGGAGCTTTACTTCCAATAAAAGATCAGAATAAATCACAAAACGCTTTTGAAACGAATACAATTGACATAAGTCAATACAATGCATTCAATTATTATTATACTAATACCCCTGTCATTAGTAGAAGTGGATCAGAATGTGTTGTTGCCTTGTGCAATCAATGGTATCTTGATTACGGTAACAAGGAATGGAAAAAAGTAGTTTCTGACTACGTTAATGATGATAATATGTTCAACTCTTTTGGTCATAAAAAAATTTATCTAAATACAATTGAGTGGCTTGACGGATGGGCTTTAAGTAGAAGTTATGGTTTGGGTACGCGACTTCCTTGGGAAGAAGATAGCAATAATGTAGTTTTCATTGAGTCTTTAAGTGATTCGACAATTTATTATGCTTATTACACAATATGTCATTATTTACAAGGCGACATTTATGGATCTATTCCTGGAAGTTTGAATATCAAGGCAAAAGATTTAAGTGTAGATGTTTTTAACTATATTTATTTGCAAACTGATTCTTACCCCGATACTAAAATACCTCGTGAATCCTTAGATTTATTACGTAAAACATTTGAATATTGGTATCCAATGACTCTTAGATGCTCTGGTAAAGATTTGGTTACGAACCACTTGACTATGTCTCTATTTAATCATGCTGCTATTTGGCCTGAAAGACCCGATGTATGGCCTAAGCGTTTTTTTATAAATGGTCACGTTATGCTTGATCAACAAAAAATGAGCAAGCAGACCGGAAACTTTTTAACAATGCAGGAAGCTCATGAATTGTATGGGGCAGATTCAACTCGTTTAGCTTTGGCTGAAGCAGGTGATTTTTGTGAAAATGCTAACTTTGAACGAAATAATGCTACAAATGCTTTGTTGAAAATATCTCTACTCAGTAACAATTGTACACAATTTATGAACAATGAGACCCTTCGTAAGGACGTTTCGTTCACTATTGATAAGTTCTTTATCGCTCAGGTTGATATTAATATTATAAAAACTAAAGCTGCTTACGAGAATCTGCTTTTCCGAGACGTGTTGAAATTCGGATTTTATGAAATGTTAAGTTTGCGTACCCAGTATTTGATTCGTGTGAAATCTTTTGGCGAGCCAAGCTATATAACACTGTATCACTGGTGGAGTAGCTTTTTAATTATGATGAGTCCTATAATACCTCATATCACTGATCATATTTGGAGATTTATTCTTAATTAAGAAACATCTATAGTCAAAGCAAGTTGGCCAGAACCTTATTTCAGTTTATCTGAAAGGAATGAATATAATTACAAATTCCATCTTTGTGAAAAATTGATTGCTGACTCGAAAAAAGCTTTGCAAAAGAGTGCCAAATCTAAAGAGTACAATTATTCAAAAGTATTATGCGTGGTCTCTGTAACTAACAGCTACAATGACAATCAAAAAGTTATTTTATCTGTTTTGAGAAATCTTGATTTTTCTAATCTTCCTGAAGATGTCATCGAACAGCAAAAGCATCTATTACGCCTTTTTAAAAAAGAATCAGCCAATTTATCTTTGTTCAGAGAAATGCCTAAACAGCTTTTAGCAAAACTTATGAGTTTTGCCTCGTTAAAGATTAAGGGATATTTAACTTTTGGAGATATAATAATACAAGATGAAATTTCTTTTGATGAATTAAAGATGTATGTAGAACATCGGACCTATCTTGAAGACAAGATCGAAAAACCTATTGAGTTTTTTACTTCTGATGGTTCCGATCACTATCCAGGTTCACCTCTTGTTACAATTAATCTAACTAAAAACGACTAATTTGCTTAACATTTTTAGTTTAAATTTTTGAATGTTTAGATAATATCTGGTTGATGTTGTGTATTATAAAATTTTTGCTTTTAGGCAGTGTGTCGGCTATGTTTTGCCGTTCTTCTGGCAAATCATATGACGTCAAAAATTCGTCAAGACATTTTATTGCACAGTTTCTAACTGAATAATCTAAAATATAAATTGTTTACTGTTACTTACTTTCATCTAAGCAAAGTTGAATAATGTTGTCAAATAAATACACTGCTTTTTTTTTTTCGTTTCTATAAATATAGTAACCATATAATTTTAAGCTGATATGTGCAGCCCAACACCTAAACCGCCAAATATTAATATAAATATTTGTATACTGCATAGTTTTGATAAATGAAGAAGCTGTGCATAATAGTTTAAGTTCTTCTTTCATATCAATTAAATCGATATCTCGGATAACATCAGATTCAATAATGTTTGAAGAAAAGTTTTTATTAAGTTTGTCAAAAGTGAGAATACCTCTGTTTTCTACATTGATTAGCTCGTATAAAAATGAAATAATATAAACAGCGATGTTTAGATTCCTCAGTTTTAAAATAGATTTCAACAGATCGTAGATTAAGCAAAAAGCTTTTCCTTTGTTCGAGTAAAACATTAAAAATGAAGTAAACGTCGTAGCTATGTAAACTAAAAAAATTATATGAATTCTAACTTACGGTTTACTTTAGAATTGCTTCCTATGAAAACAAAAATACCTGATAAGAAGAAATTACACAATTCTTCATTTTCGTCAATAACTATTGGATTGAAATTGAAATTTAAAATCAATTTGTCAGTTTCAATATCAAATTTGTTCGTAAGTATATCTTTAGTTGATATACAAAAAATGCCTAGTTTGCTGACCGATAAATAGTAATATATTAGGGGATAGCAAGATAAAAGCTCGCATAAATAATGAGAAGTTCTAGAAAACTTGGAAACGCTTGATAATGGATTATTATTGTTCGTAAAAATGATGGAAAATGTATCAAATATTGATTCGATTGGTTGAAACATTAAGATTAATTCAAAAATCAGTAAAATATGTTTGAAAAGGGAACAGTTTATTTCACTATCTACATTGGTACGAAATATTATATCATTTTTAAACTTTGTAGTCATGCTTTGGTAAAGTTTGAAACAATTTCTTTGATGGTCTTTTTTTAATTGGTACGTATCAAAAAAATATTGAAAGTAAGCTAATGAATAATAATTTGCATAATCAATAAACATTAAGTTAGAATATTTACAACTTGGACAACTGGAGTTCGGAGCAGTATCTATTTGTCTTTTTTGTTTTTGTAGTTCATACATTAAAGGGAAATTACTTTCAATATAGATTTCTGACCTATATATGTAACGTTGGAATAAAATATAGAGAAATATTATTAATAGAAAGGAATGAGAAAATAAGGGAAAGTATGATTTTAAGTATTTCACCTCAAAGATCTTAGCTATAACATGTTGTTCTCCTGGAATTAACTCTGAAAATTTTTTGTTATGAGAACTCATATTTAATATTATTTTATCTAAATGATTGGTGTATTTATCATAGTAGTAGTTATTAAAAAAACTTATAATATAAGTTTGGAAGTAATTGAAATAGATTCTAAGCCAAGGTTCGTAGTGTGATATGGAAACATGACAATAGCATAATGTTAAAAATAAGAAAGAAGGAAGTTGTATTACAGATTCGGTGTAACCGTTGGTCGCGTTAAAGATTAATATATCTTGTTGTTTAGTAGTAAAGGAATAAAAATCTTGTTCATCTGAGATATTTTTTGTAAACGTTAAAGTTATTTTTAATAATAAACAAATAGCATAGTTGAATTTTGAAGTGATAAGTTCGTAAAATATAGCCTTTACATCCGGGACACGACTAGGAAACTGACAGTAAATAATATCATAAATATTATACATTAGATCATTTCCTAAGTAAAAACAAATATCATCGTTTGGAAAATGCTCAACACTACCTATTATATAAAACAAAGCAAGAAGAATTTCAGAATTAGTAATCTCATTAAGTTTTTTTAAAATACAATTCAATAAATGACTAATTAATTCTGTCCAATTTTTGATATTATCCAGACCATTGTTGTACGCGGTATAAAGTTCTTTGTTTTGTGAAATAGCGTTATATTCAGAAGCTGTCAGCTCAGTGTAACCACCTCCATATATTGAAGGTACCTTTAGTTGTGTATTTTCATTCATTAAACTGTGGTTTATATCAATACGAGGTGTTAAAATATATTCATCTGAGTTTCCTTTATTTGTTAGTTGTAAGGCTTCTGCTTTTTCTGCTACACATTGGTTTTGCTTCACATTGAATAAATTATTTCCTTGAAAAAAAGTTATTGGTGGTAAATTCGCAGGCTCTGAAAATTGAGAATGTAATAAACTAAAGATATTACAATCAAGTTCTTTTAACTGAACAAACTTATCAATAAAATTTGTTATTTCAGAAATTTTCTTTTGTTTAAATATGTAGAGAGAATGATTGAAGTTTGATTCTGCCTGTGGATTCATTGAATAAATAACTTTCTCACTGTTAATATATTAACTACCGTTTATAATGCATGTTTACTAGAGGTGACTGTATTTTAAAATATTTGACGTATTAAGACAATTTACACGATACATAATATTATTATGAAGTTTCAATTAATAAAAATTGATAATGCCAGAATTAATTAATTCTCAAACTAAGTTAAAATCATGCTTAAAACAGGGTAACTCTACTTCAAAACATATAAAATGGGAAGAAAATACTATTAGAGAACACGACGCTTTACGCGGCACAAGAATGACTATTGACGAACTTCCTACTCCATTTGTAATTGATGAATCAATTGATATCGAAGAAAATAGCATTGATGATGATATTTTTAATTTGAAAGATGATTTAGATAATAGTAATGTTTTTAAACATTCTAGTGTTGAAGATCTTGATAATGACTTCGAAAAAAAACGTAAAGAACATTATAAAATTAAAAAATCGTCACTAAAAGATGATATTGATGACATATCTGATGATATCGATAATTAACTAATCATTTATAGGTTGAATTTTGATTGAAAATTCTAATAAAATTATACTTTTAATCTTGATCTACATCGATTAGCTCGTTATTGTTGTTTATGAACATTTCTTTCAAACACTCTAGTTGGTTTTCAGTGTTTGGTTTTACGAAATAAATACCATGGGTTAGAAGATGCTTATATAAAATAAACAAATTATTTACTGATAATTCAACTGCTCTCATTTCAAGCATAGCAAGCTTATTTTCTAGTTGGCATAAATGCGTATCGTCTACTTTTACTATTTCGAATGACTTTTTATCAAGTTCGATGTAACAATCTGAAAGTAGCTTGCAGAGATATTCTTTGAATTCGGAAACAGTGTCGAGTACTCTCGAATCAGGTAAAATTTTATTAGTGTATTCTTTATATAAGTTATAAATATTATTCAGACAAGATCCGCTTACGAAACTCGCTCTTAAAGTTTTTCTTTTACGGTTAAATATTATTTTCAGCATTGCATCCCATTGTTGATAGTCAACTTCAAGTTTATTAGGCAGTGAACTTAATTTTACAACAACCGAATCTACTTTCGGGGGAGGGTTAAAAGATTTGGCACTAACGTTGCAGACTCTAGTTATTTTACAAAAAAGCTGCACGTTTACTGAAAGCCTACAGTAATGTTTATCACCAGCTGAAGCTAATAACCGGTCACCGAATTCTTTTTGAAACATAAGTATTGCAGCTCTGAATTTTTTAGGCCAAGAAATTAGCCTAAACAAAAACATTGAACTTATTTGATAAGGTAAATTAGCCACACATAAAGTGAAATATCCGAAATCTGTTTTTAAAGCGTCTCCTTTTAGAACTTCAAGATTAGTATGACCACTTGCCATGGCTCTTTTTTTTAATTCCGCAACCATTCTTTGATCAATTTCAATACATCGAACCTTTTTAGCTAACGTACATAGTTGCATTGTCAAATTACCCGTTCCTGGTCCAATTTCAAGAACTGTATCGGATTTTGTTATTTGCGCTGATTCTATTATTTTTTGCACTATACCAGGGTTAGATAACAGATGCTGGCCAAGTTTTTTATTCATTTTCATGCCAGGTTTTGTTTTAACCGATTTAGAATCAGTTTTTTTGTTAATCTTCAAAATACTAGAAGCTACATCAATGAGTCTGTTTTTTAATTTGATGTCTATACCTTTACCTTTAAAAGTTTTTACGTTTTTCATGTATAAAAAACATCCTCAGTAAAATTTTTTTGCGTTTTTTTCGGATAATTTAAAATATACTTTATTCATAAGCGAAATATTAACGCTTAACAGAATGGTATAGAAAATATCGAATATGGGTAAAAAAATCAAAGTAGGAAAATCTAGAAAGGACCATTATTATGAGTTAGCGAAACAACAAGGGTTTCGAGCTCGTTCTGCGTTTAAGTTAGTTCAGATAGCCAATAAGCTTGATATATTTAAAAATGTTACCTACGTGTTAGATTTATGTGCAGCTCCTGGAGGTTGGATGCAAGTTGCTCGGACTCAAATTCCACCCATTGGACATGTTTTTGGAGTTGATTTATGTAATATCAAACCTATTCCAGGTTGTACTTCTATAATTTGTGATATTACTATTGAACGATGCGCGAAACTTTTAGATGAAGCTTTGACACAACAAGGTGTACTTGATAAGTTAGTTGACTTAGTTTTGCATGACGGAGCTCCGAATGTAGGTTCTAGTTGGGATAAGGATGCTTATATTCAAAACGAGTTAGTTGTCCACTCTATGAAATTAGCGAGTAAATATTTAAAGAAACATGGTAACTTTGTTACAAAAGTATTTAGATCTGCTCACTATGCCAAATTGATTTCTCTATTCGAATCACTTTTTGAACGTGTTCAAGTTTTCAAACCAGCTTCATCAAGAACTGAATCTGCTGAAATTTTTTTTATTTGTATCAATTTTTATGGTACGCCAAAAAATTCAGATCAATTTTTTGATTGCAATAGAGTTTTTCTTGATAATGAAACTACTCATTTAGATAAATTCAACAAGGGTTTGATTCCTCAGCAATTGGTAGATTCGTTAAAGGCTGGAGGTTTACGTTCTGCGTTAAAAGCTACAAATAAAGTTAAAGCCACTGGATATGAACAAGGTGATGATTACCGCAAATGTACTGTAACCCAACTTTTCCATAGTACTCACCCATCAGAATTGTTAGTACATAGCAATGCTATAACTTTTGATTTAAATGACGAGTTTGAAAAAGCTATATGGTACGATGCGTCGACAACAGATGAAATCAAAGAATTTTTAAAAGATTTAAAATTATTATCAAAAGCTGAGCTTCAACAAATAATGAAATGGAGGAAAAAATTGTTATTAAATATTATTGATCAGCAAAAAACTAAAGTAGAAAATGCAGAAACTCAAGCGAAAAGCACTTTAATTGATCCTGAACAAATAAAAGAAAAGATCGAGCGAGATTTAAAAAAAGCTGTTGCTCAAGATGCTAAAAAATATCTTAAAAGACTTAAGGAAATGAAGAGAAAATATAAAAGATTACAACAGCGCTATAATGAAGCAAGTAAAGTTTTTGACGGCAAAGTTGAAGATCCTATTTTATTTTCTAACGGTGAAGAATCTTTTAAAATTTTAGCGAATGAACCTGAATACGTTGATGTGAACGAATCCTATAATTCTCACGGTATATCTAACGAAGGCGAAGTCATTAATTTCGAGCTTGATATGCAGATATCGTCAGAAGACGAATCAGATGGTTCTTCAGGCCAAAGCGGTATGGATGATGTTGATTATATAAAACGTCTTGAAAAAGAACTTAATGAATATCATAACAAGCTCAAGGAGTCAAAAGATTATAAAAAGATTCTAAAAGAATTAAAGAATAAAAAAACGACTAGAAGAGCAGAAGTTTTTGCAAGCTGGGCTAAAGAATTACAAGATTTTACCACTCAGCTTGACGAGTTGAATAAGGAAAATAAAATGCACGACGAGAGCGATGAAGATCTTTATCAATCATCGGACGAAATCAACTCTAATAAGTTTGGTTACAACATAGATAACTCAACGAATATTGATGTAGATGGTTCTGAATCTGCTGACGAAATCTCCTCTTTACCAGATTCAGCATTGCCTCAAATACCACTAAACGAAAAAAAAATTAGGCATTTGAAACGTGTGAAACAGTTAGAAAAAGAAAATAAAATTGCCGAGAAAAAAAGACTGAAATCAAACAAAGCTCTCGATAATAATCCAGAGGTTGACGATGATACTAAAATCAAAACTGTCAAACCAACGATCTTATCAGCGGGAAGGCCGATGCCGGCAGCTGAGATAGCAGAAATTCAAAGTATTGGATTAGCCTTGAACAGATTGCCTAGTAGAATCGACACTATAGAGTCCACTTATAGCAGATGGAATTTTGAAGATAATGACGATTTACCAGATTGGTTTAAAGAAGAAGATCAAGCAGCAAGATGTCCAGACATACCGCTCAATGCTAATCTTGCTAAGCAATTGCAAGTTAAAATAACCGAAATTAACCAACGACCAATAAGAAAAGTGTTGGAAGCTAAAGCTCGGCGACAGAACCATTTAAAATTTCGATTGAACAAAATAAAATCGGAAATAGCCAAAGTGTCGAATAGTTCAGATTATTCGGAAGGTTCAAAGAATATTGCAATTGCGAAACTTCGAAAAAAATCCGCACACATTGTTAAGCCTAAAATCACAAAGCAATACGTTGTTGCAAATAAATCAGGAAAGTCAAAGGTAGCTAAACCGAAAACTAAGACTTATAATGCTAACACGAAAGCTATACCAGTTGATAAGCGTTTAAAGACTGATAAAAGAGGAATAAGGAAAATTGTCAAAAAAAAGAAAACAAATAAATCTAAATCAAAGAAAAGATGACTCGGTTCTTTGATATGATCATCATAAATGCTGTAGGAACCCAAATTAATTATAATATTTTTAGATATATATTTTCTGGCCTCAATTATACATGATAGTGTTATATGAGTTCTAGGTTTTCTCTCATTTCTTCTAGATCATCTCGTACTTCATTTATAAACTTCGTTTCTTTTTTTCTTCTAATCGTTTCTTGTATTTGTGCAATAAAAGCAATTATCAAAAATACTTGAGCTGCTATAAATAAACCATAACACCAACCTATAGCTGGAGTTGGGTAGTACGAACTCTGATTTACATGGTTAAATACTATCCCACTAACTACGTAAATAGAAATAATAATTGCTACGTTAATAATAAAGGTTAATAAAATCACTAAAGCAGCGTATTTTTTTGATTTCTGTCTATTGATTGATGATAAAGCTGTAGCAAAAAGCATTAAAATAACACAAAGAATTATGGCTGATGCACTCAAATAGAAACACATAGCAAGCCAATTCCACATTGAGCATTTTGCTTTCTGCCATTCACAATACTTATTCGTGCATAGGTTTCCAACAAGTTGTTTACCCATTTCCTGGCACGCTATTTCTTTTGTTTTCATATGAGATCGAGCAACCTGACCGGTTACAAAGAATAACCCCCAGTATCTAGCGATAAATGCAGATTTTTCTGGAACATCAGACTGAAGTCTATTTCGTTTTTTAACTTACAACCAACCACGATTGCCCAACAAGAACTGCAATCACACAGCAAAGATAGACGACATTGCAAGCTAAAACTACTTTATTTAGTTTGAATCGTTTCATTGATCATAAACTATGTTTTGATCAAATGTTTAAAATATTATAAATATATCTGTCATAAGAATTATTTTCTATTTTCTGATAGATTAAATAATTTTATAATAAGCTAAAATTTTATTCTCAAAAAATTTAATTTGGTTCAGGCCATTAACTTAGCAATTTTTTCAAAAACTTTTGTTTTACTTCATCTTAAATTTATTTAATGAGTATAAATAAAACTGTAGAAGTAAGCGCTTTATCTTTAGCTACTATTCTCAATGGTTATAAGCTAATAAAAAATAATACTCCTGATTTAACGGTTTTAATTGGAGAATTAAACGACGACGGAATTTTGTGTATATACGACGCTTTTGAAACGTTGCTGGAAAAAAATACCGAAGATATTTATTTACCGACTCTGGTGATTTATGATTCCATGATAACCACATTCTCAAGGTTTAGACCTCGTAACTCACTTGTAGGGTTTGCTTCTTGCACTTTGACTGAGGAGAATTTATCTCATATTTTAAAATGGTGTGTAAATCATACGACTACATCCAGATTTGTACAACAAAGAAGATTAAAAGTTCCAATAGGACTTATGGTAACTCCTTTAACAAAAACTACTTACCCTCAACTTAGAGCATTTTCGCTTAATGATAACGAAGTAAATGAATACACGGTACGTTATAAGCCATTTGTTCCGTACACGAGTACACAAAATAATAAAATCGTTTCTTTCTTCAAGCTTTGTGAACAAAGAATTAACAAAGCTTTAGAATTGACACAAAAAGCAATTTCTCAATCGAACTATGAATTAGCAAAAGAATGTTACAAAATAATAAGTGTGGATCTTATAAAAGATTTTGACTCTTTTATCTCGGTACATTGTGAGAATAGAAATTTGTTTTACATTATGACAATGTTAGCTAACACTCAAATAGGAATCGAAAAAGCGTTGCGTTCTCTTTGTATAAAATCTAATAATAATGAGTGAGTATGTAAGTATTATCAATATAATTTTACCAATGTAATATTTCAACTTTCCTATGATATCAATTCAATAATTTTTTTTTTTATAAAAAACATTACCAATCGCAAAAAAATGTATTGTGACAGCATAGTCAAAAAGCTTGAATGTATTCAAGAAAAATTAGCTAGGCTTTCCGATAATCTTAATTACGATTTTTTTAATAATTGTTTAAATGATATTACTATTCTTGTCCAACAAGTAAAATCTGACGTTAAACCTGAAGTAGCTTCTCAAATAATAGCTAACTTTCGAACAAAAATTAAATTACTATCACAATTCTTATCAAATTTGTTAATCAATTATAATAGTGAAGATAACCAAGAGTTGTTAGATTTATATCTTTCATGGGTCACCGTTTTATCACTACTCGAGTATGAACAAAGTGAGCTTGTAAATATCTACTATTCGTTGTTAAGTGAGTTATTAAATGAAGATAAAACTGAGTTAGTAAAATTTTTTACAAAGAAATTATTACTGTTTAACTTCTCTAGTTTTAAGACAATATTAGAAGTTCTTGTATTACTACTCAAAGAAACTAAATTCAAAGACTATTTAAATTATTTTTGTGAATTACTAGATTGTTTAAACTCAGATGTAATCGAATATTTTATAGATGACGAGTCCAACCTTGAAGCTGAGGTAAAAATATGTTACGATAATTTTTTTGAATCTCTTTGTGAAATCAAGGAAGTGCAATATCTTTGCACTATAATTTACAATTTGAATGTTACCTTTTTCTTGTCATTGGAGAATCCAACTAGTATATTTTCACGTTGCTACAAGAATTTAGAAGAAAGCATTACTATAAAAAGTAAACTTACTTGGTTGCACACGCTTTACCACATTCGTTCCCACAAAAATTTTCATTACAACTCACATGTAGATTTTATTCAATTATGTTACAACTTTTTAGTACCCGAGATTTTTATTGAAAACGAACGATCAATAATATTTCAAATCATACTTCAGAATTCTATCAATTTTGACAAACTCCAACTCATTTCTTTTTTTAAAAAATTGTTACAGGTTGCAGCTTTTGTGCCAGTAAATTGTGCAGTATTATTATTGAAAGTAGTACAAAAACTAGTTTATTTGAAAAATGATGTATTTCTGCCTTTAATTCATATTTCAGAGGATTATAATTATGTAATCGAATATAAACCGGCTCCTACTAATCTTGACTTAAAATTAAATCAAAATCAACATTCAAATCTCACTCCGTGGGCTACTTTATGCGGTGATTACTCGTGCTACGAAATCAATTTGTTTTTATATAATTCAAACATCACATTAAAACAAGAAGCTCAACGAATCATAGGTACAATTATTGATCCATACAATTTTTCAACAATAGACGAGCAAGTAGAGATTGCTTTGCAGCAAGGAATCAATAAATTCACAGCTAAATATAGTAAAACGATTCACAACATTATCAATAAAATAATTATAGACATTCAAGATGACGTCTGATTTTATATAAAAGTGTGCAACGCACCTTTGAGCTATCTTAAACTAAATGAACTGTATGAAAGTAGCTTCAGACCAGTTACATGACAGAACACTTTTTTTACCTGTTTATGACGGTGAACAATTTATTGGTAATAAAAAAACTAAGAAGAAAGAACTTGACATACCGGTAGTTTCAACAAGCTCCATTAGTGAAATAGAGAAGCTTTGTAGACAGCGTCTAAATGATAATGATGTTATTGTAAAAGATAATGTTTGTTTAAAGTTATTATCTGAATTTCCCAATCGCAATTATTCCTTAAACAATGCAGAAACAATTGAAGACCTGAAAAGCTGCGCAGACATAATCAAAGTCTTTCCTGAGTCGTCTTCTATCTTTGAAGAATCTAAAGCCTTAGAAGATGACATTAAAGCAGTTGTTAGTCGTGGAGACTCGCGTTTATTTTCTTTAATTGGTTCTTCGTCTGCATCAAATTACTCTTATTTATGGGGAACTAATGATTTCCCAGGACTTTTTCATTATATTATCGCTTCTATTTTTTCTCATATTCACGCAACTAATTTAAGTAGTACAAAAACACTGTTGTCTATTTCAGAGTACATATTAAGTATCAGTGTCGTTTCTTACTCAGGGAATGAAAAAGGACGTGACATCTTAAATTTATTTTCAGCGAGCGATTTCGACGATCAAGCTGATCATGAAAAATTAAAAAATGAGATGGAGTGGTCTAACGATGATTTGTTAAACTTTGCTCGCTTTTATCGTTTTAGTGATGAACCTTTAAAATCAACTAAGTGGAAAGACATGAATAAATACTACGAATTATTTAAAAAAAATAACGCAACTGCATTTTCACAAGCTAAAGCAAAATCAAATGTTTTTTTATTTACTAACTCAAATGAACATACAAAAATTTATTTTAGCTCGTTTGAACAAGTGTTAAAATTCGTTTCTAAGTTGCGTTCTGTAATGAAAGATCAGGTAAACTCTTACATAACTTCGAATGAATCAGATACCTCTGTTAAACACAAAGAGAAACATTACATAAGACAAGCTTTATTAATTCCTGCTTATCTAATTAATATAAATATTGAAAAACGTATAAGGCTTATATCGTCTCTCGACTGGAAAAATATTAAAACTAAAATTACTAAAAACATTAACACAAAATATAGAACGATCAAAGTAAATCGTGGAACCTTTACAATTTTACATGTTCCAGCAGCAGATTACGTCACTAACAGTGTTTATCGCACTACAAGTCCTACTGCTTTCTATTTATTTGAACTAACTTATGAAGCTATCAAAAAAACATATTTTCAAGATCATGTCTTTACTGAATTGTTCGCTAAAGAATGTCCTTTAACATCGGATTTATATTTTTTTTTAACAAAAAATTTTGAATCTAGTAGATTATTTTCAGATAGATTTGATTGGAAAGTTTTTTTAACTTTAAACCGACTTAACACTCCCAAATCAATTAATGAAGGATTTATAAAGTTTGCTGCGTCGATTTATCTTAACTCGGATAGACTGAAAAACATTTCTAATAAGTCAACTGAACCAGTCAAATCATCTTTTGATTCAATTATTGTAAAGGAATTTAATTTAACAAGTAAACACGTTAATTCCACTCAATTTGATGACATTGTGATTACTCCTTGGGCGCAAGAATTGAAAGTTTCTAGGTCTCATATTTTCGCAATGCTCGCGACGGAATTTTCAGTACAAGAAAAATTGACAAAGATACATATATCAAACATTGTTGATTCTTCAAAGCCATGTGTCCCTGAAGCTGATTCATTATCTAAATTATTACAAAAAGGAAAAACTGAACAAGTTGTCGATCTCGTAAACAAACAAAGGAGAAGAACTAAAAATTTTGCCAAATCAATGGAAAGGCTGTTGTCTAATATCAACTCTTTTTCAGACCATGTTAAAGAAGATAATCATCAAGCAGCAGAAACAGTTTATTCCGTAGGCTTTGAGAACGAAAAAAAAATAAATGAATCAGGTATTCGTTCTAAAGCAAAGTTAATGCCATATGAAAAGTTTAAACAAAGTAAAGAAAAAACTTACAATGATTTTATCAACAATACAGGATACAAATATGATGGTAAAGAGTGTAAATTTTATTCTTCAGCAAACAATTACATAAGAGAGAAAGGATCTAGCGTATAAAAGATTATTTGTTATGCAGTTGAATGTGTTAGTAACTATCTTAAAATATTAGTTTCCTTTGAAACTAATATTTTGCATCTTTTAAGTCGGTTTGCACAGAAATAAAATTGATGTAATGTGTACTTATAATTGAAATTATATTTTTGAATGTCGGAATTATTTAGCAACTAAATGCACCCTGTAAAAAAAGAATGTTAAATATTAACACTAATAACGAAAAAAAGTTAACTAAAACGGTAGGAGATTGTTTTAATAATGATACTTTAGGTGGTGATCCTTTTCGAAAAAAAATATTACATCATAACCCATATACTAATAATAATTCTAGCCCATTTTTCGATTCTTGTATGATAGAAAAAAATTCTAATAAATCAGATGCCTCTATTAGACGAAATACTTTATTGCAGTCGTTAAAAGAACAAATCTCGAAGAAAAACCTTATTGATGAGAAGGATCCGTATGCAAAGAAGTTCAATGATTACTCTATTTCGAATTTCCAGTTAGAACCAGACAATGATATGTTAATTAATGATATTAACGAAAACTTTTTAACAGATAATGAACGAAATTTACTTGAAGACTACATATCCAAAGTCAAAAATAAATCAGAGCCATATATTAATAAGCAAAAAGAAAATTTTAAGGACAACACTATTATTAGAATGCCACTTTCTAAGCTAAAAGAGCTTATTAAAAATTTTAAAAATACGAACAATATGATATCACCAGCGAAATTTCAAAAGTCTGTAACAACTTCATTGGTTCCGCATAATGCTGCCGAAAGTACTTTATGGAATTCGTGGCGCAATTTTTTATCAATTTTATTTCATTGTGGAAACAATATGGAGATAAAAGTTCCTACCGAAATAACAAATAACGAGGATCAAAATTTAGATCAAAGAAAAGTACATTATCATTGTACAGAATATAAAAATGATAAACAATCAAGTTCCGAAGTTCCTATTAATTTGTCACATAAAAACATTAAAAACTTAAATGTAGATGTAATACTCAATACAAAAGCTTGTTGTAGAGAGCAAGACTGCATCAAATGTAAAGAAAGTATTAATAAAGTTTACGCACCGCGTACTGTTAAGAATTTTGTAGAATATTATAAATCTAATGATGAAAACGTTAAGTGTGACCTTCAAAATGAGCACGCAACAGATTGCAATAAATCGAAACAATATTATCTCGCGTCAACTAGAAATTTCCTGTAATATTACCATTTATTTATTTTTTTTTTAGTTCATTTACCTATTTTCCTTACTGTTACTGTGACGTTAAATTATTGAACTCATTCGAACAGTAACTTTTTAAATGAAAGTTTGTTTTATTTAAAAATGTCTCTTGATGCATTATGGCTTACTTTTCAAAACCACGAAGCGTTAAATAGTTTACAACTGCATCGGGAGGTTAATCAAAAACTGATTACATTATGCCAAAAGCATTTATGTCCATCTATGATATTTTATGGGCCTGACGGCGCTGGAAAAAATACACGAGTGAAACTTTTTTTAAAATTATTTTTTAATATTCAGCATGATAAGCCTAAGTTAGAATATATTAAAATTGAGAATAAAGACACACTTGTGAAAATACTTTCTTCGGGAAACTTTTCAGAGTTATATGCTTCACATATTCAATATTTAGACTTAAATAGTGTTGTAAGTATAATCAAACAATTAACTTGCGTATCTGCCTCAAATCTCCTTGCGCCAAGCGTTTCACATACTTATCAATTCCGGGTGTTAGTAATTCACGAAGCTCATTTACTTTCATTAGCTACTCAAGCGGCGTTACGTAGAATAATAGAAGCTAGTCATCAATATTGTCGGTTTATTTTAGTTACTACAAGATTATCAAATATAATTCAACCGTTGCAAAGTCGATGTTTATGTTTTAGAATATGTGCTCCCAGTTTTGAAGACGAATCAAGTATTTATTTAGATTTTATAAAGAAAAGAGGCCGTACAATCACTACACAAAAGTTAAATGAAATTCAAAAAATATCTAATGGAAATTTATTACTCGGAATTATAATGATCCAAAAGTATTTCATGACAAATGTTATCAATCCACCACTTTGGATTTCTTTACTGACAAATATAAAAAATGAAATTATTGAGAAGCCGAATATAAATTCAATCACGGAAGCTAGAAAGGTGCTGATCGAATTAATTTCACGAACAATACATCCAGTTATTTTACTAGAGAAATTAATATTTTTGCTTGTGAATGATAAACGTATTCCTAAACATCTACAAACAAAAATACTTCAAGTGGCTGCTTCGATGTCAAGTTATGTAAATGATTCTAGTAAATCTATTATGGGTATTATTAATTGTTTATGTTATATATCAATAATGATTTTTAATAATTTATATAATAATAAAGATCTAGATTAATTTATTTATTTTTTTAAATTAATTTTCAAATTATCAACATCTATAATGAAACTATCAAACCTGCTATTCCTAGGCTTATTAGCCAAAAATCAATTTTTACAATACTGTAAGTCGTTATAATGTAATGAGTTTGTTTAGCTTTTGCAAAAGCTACTACAGGAGATAATACATCTTCTAAAAATGGGAGCAATGATACCGACGGTGATTTGAGTGCAAAAAGTGTAGCGTTTGGTATAGATTTCGGTACAACAAATACCGCAGCAGCAATCTTCACTAATGGTCAACCATTAGTTATACAAAATGCTAACGGAAAAACTACTACTCCGAGTTACATAGGTTTCAATAAAAATTCTTTAGAAAGATTAATTGGAGAAGAAGCGAAAAATGAAATGATGAACGGAAATCCAGATTTTCATAAGAATGTCTTCTCTCTTTTAAAACGTCTAGTAGGTTTAGATCCTAACAGCCAAAAATTTAAAGAAGTTTTACGATTCTTTAAAGGAAACGTCGACATCAAAGTTAAAAATGGAAAAACCTATTTTGTTGTAACTAGAAATGGTAAGCAAGTAGAACACACTGTACTTGAACTTATTGTTGAATTTTTATCAATATTCTTTGGTCAAGTCAAAGCTAAAACTGGACTAAATATTACTGATGTTGTAATAACTGTACCAGCTTATTTCAATGATGCCCAACGTACAGAAATCAAGAATGCCGTACAACTAGCGGGATACAAAACTTTAAGAGTTATCAATGAACCGACAGCCGCTGCAGTTGCATACGGACTTGACAGAAAACCACAAAAAGAAAACGAAGAAGAGCTCATACTTGTTTTCGATCTCGGTGGTGGTACTTTTGATGTTAGTATTTTATCATTACAAGATGGTGTATTTGAAGTTACTGCTACTGGAGGTGACACTTACTTAGGTGGAGAAGATATTGATAAGAATATTGCACAGCATATCGCTGATAAGTTCAAGAAAGATCACGGTATTAACTTAGCTGATAACCCGGATGTTTTTCTCAAACTTAGATTACTTTCTGAAAAAGCTAAGAGAGAACTCTCTAGTTCTGAAGAATTCCACTTTTTCATGCCTCGTATAGTTGGAGACATTGATCTTGATTACAAATTAACTAGAGCCACATTCGAAGCTATTAACGATCTTTTCTTCCAAAAAGTAATGAAGATAGTTTCTAATGTAATGAAAGATGCTTCTAGGGACGCTAATGACATCCACCAAGTTATTTTAGTGGGAGGATCTAGTAGAATTCCAAAAATCCAACAACTCTTGACCAAGAAATTCGGTGAATCTAAGATCAACAGATCAGTTAACCCAGAAGAAGCTGTTGCAATAGGTGCATCTATTCAAGCTGCTATTCTTAATGGGGAATTGACTGATAAAAACTTACTATTATTAGATGTCGCGCCTTTATCATTAGGTATTGAGACTGCCGGAGGTGTTATGACAACTATTATCAAAAGAAATACTATGATTCCCACTAGTAAGAGCCAAATATTCAGTACTTATAGTGACAATCAAACTTCAGTAAGAGTGCAAGTCTACGAAGGTGAAAGACCCATGACTAAGCACAACCACTTACTTGGTACTTTTGAACTTTCTGGAATTCCTCCTGCTCCTCGTGGTGTTCCTCAAATTGAAGTTAGCTTTAACATCGACGTTAATGGTATATTGAATGTAACTGCTGTCGATAAAGCAACTGGAAACAAAGATCAAATCACCATTAACAATGATAGAGATGGTTTAGACAAAGAAACTATTGAAAGAATGATTGAAGAAGCTCACGCCAACCAAGAAAGTGATGAAAAATTCAGAAAGAAGGTCGAATCTAGATCTAAATTGACTGTTTATGTTGATACCATTCAGAAACAAGTCAACGATAAAACTATTGTTCAAAGTTTAGATGCTCAAGATCTCGACCAAATTAAGAAAATCGCAGAAAAAGTTCGAACGTGGTTAGACGCCAACCAAGAGGCTGAATCAGAAGATTTCGAAGAAAAATACAAGGAAATCGAATCTGTTGTGAGCCCAATATTTAGCAAAATATACGAATCCATCAAAAAAACAGGTGCTAATCCCAACAGCTTTGATAATGCAAGCACTGATAATGATGATGACGATGATTTTAGTGAGGAACTCTAAATTATGTATTTCTAATTTATATTATTTATTTACATATGATATGTCGCCTTGTTTCATAATACATCATAATTAAATATACTTTTTTTTTATTAATTTCTTTAATTATTGTATTGTGGACTGTTAGTGTGGAGATCATTAATGACGAATGTAACAAAAGTTATTATTGGTTTTTCGATTCTGACTTCAGTTCTTTCATTTCTGAATTTGGTGGCACCACAAACCTGGTTATGGTCAACTAAATCAATATTAAAATCAGGCCAAATTTGGCGAATATTCTCTAGCCAGTTATACATTGCAAAACTGAGTATACAATCGATTTGGAGATGTTATATTTTAAATAATTATTTGGAAGAATTAGAATCATATCATTATAAAACTAAGCTTGATTTCATCCAACGAATACTTTTTATTATTATTTGTATTTCTATAATAAATATAGTTTATTTAAAACAACAGTATTTAAATGCAGTGTTTCAAGCCGCTGTTTCATATCTTTGGTCAAGACTAACTACTAATGATATTCAACTAGTTTTTATCAAGCTGAAATCTAGTTATTTTCCGTGGATTCTTTTGATCAGTGCTTTTATCTCAAACGTGAGAATTATTCCCATACTAGTTGGTATGGCCATTGGCCATTTCATTTATTATTATGATTTTGTCATACCTTCAGAATTTACAAAAAAAGATAAATAATTACTTTTTTATATTTTTCTTATGTTCTTTCCATGATTGAACGCGAGATTGGATTTCTTCGTTTCTTTTCATTTTTTTCTGCTCATATTTAATTTTAGATAATTTATTACGTTTTTGTTCTTTAACTTCAGCGCTATCTCCTGGTCTGACAATAACAGATTTTGGAATTATATATCCATTGTGAGTCATAATTTTCTCTTCGGATTCATCCATATTATTTTCTGATGTTTTAGTCACTATTCGAAGTCTGTCTCTGCGAACTTCTTCTACCGTGTTATAATCAATGTAATTAATCTTTACAAGATCCTTGTTGACATCAATAATCTCACATAGATACCACATTCCATCTTCCTCAAATAAACATTCTAATTTGTTTGTTTTCTTTAACAGCGTTTCGTCAATAGTTTTTCTTAATTTAATGTCAGAAAATTTTATATTAGCAACACGATTTTCGTCATCAATCTCTTGAAATATTTCTACGTCTACTGACTCTATTTTTTTATTTTCTGAATCATATTGCGTAATACCAAGTATTTTCCCATACGAATTACTTGATTTTATATATCCACAAGCATTAACAATATTTGACGGGTCTGTTTTAGTCCAAAAATCTAATATTACTTCAGCATCTTTTAATAAATTAAGAGTCTCTAAATCATTGGGTTCATCTTTTAAAACAAGTTTGAAAGACAAAATGTAATTATAATATTCACACAAAAAGTGGTAAATTTCGGCTTGTGTAGTTTGTTTATCAGCCATAGTGAATTTTTTTTTTGTAGGAAGAAATATTTACGAATTATATACACTTAGTCTTTAATTACATTAAAGTGTTAATTTTTATTTCTTACAGATCGCTTGTTTAATTCAGCGTTTTTATTATGTATTCTTACATTTATGCATACATTGTGTAAATGAGTTCAAATTTCGCAAAATTTAACGAACAGCGATCGACTCCATCTGTTTCGAGTCATGTAGAGTATTTTGGTTTGTTACATGTCTATATTATGGATGCGGAGAACATTTGGCTTCCAAACGCACGGAAATCTCAAAAATTTTTTGGATATATTTGTCGAATGCTTTCGCTTTCAAGATGGTCAAGATCTAAAAAGCCCATATGCGTTGTTTATGTAAATCTTTTTGGTCATGTGTATAAAATAGGTAGAACAAGATCAATAGAGCGAAGACATTATCTAAGATGGAATCAAGAATTTACAGTACCACTTCTAATAGATTTTTCTGAAACAACAGACGAAACGCGATACATCAATTACTCAATTAGTAAAGAAAAAGCCGAACTGATAGTTTTAATAATTGACACGCCTAAAACACTTGACTCAGATCTGATCCAACTTGATACTGATAACTATACTTTAATAGCTTCAGGAAAATTTGACCTAAGATATGTTTTAAGTACAAAAGTATTTAGAATATGGCTGTATATGTCAAAAAAAAATTTGCAAAACTTTGATAAATCTGGAGAAATTGAGTCCAATGAAGTAAATTGCGATCGATCTGATAAAGAAGAAGTGTTTACATCTTTATCTGATAATCAAAAATCACAGACATCGATGAATACAAAAGAAAAAATGAAAAAATACTTCTATCATTTAAAACGATTTATAAAAGCGGATGGAGAGTACTCACGATTGAAGCTCCAAGTATCATTTTTTGAAATCAAAAAACTACCTGGACATTCAGGAATAAAAAACTTGTATTATCCTTTAAGACAAGGCCATTATGTTTCATTCTATGCCGATACACATAGAACTAGAAATCCTGTATTACAAATAAAAACAGAACTTGGTATCTTTAAGCAAAGAAATGCTTGGAACGAATTGTTTGATGCACTTTATAATGCAAAACATTTTATTTATATTTCTGGATGGAGCATTCATCCAGACATTAAACTTTGTAGAATCAAAGATGACTCAATGACTGACGAAGAATTTGCAAAGCGGTCAAATATAACATTTGGAGAATTGTTAAAAAAAAAATCTGATGAAGGGCTTAGTGTTGTTCTTTTGATTTGGGAAGACAGTTCAACGAGAGAAAATATTGTGTTTCTGCGAGGAGGTTTGATGAAGGCGTTTCATTATTATACTAAAACATACTTCAAAAATTCAACCGTGAAAGTTGCGCCGTTGAGAAGAATAGCTATAGATGATACTTCAGATTTAAAATTAATGATTCGAGCTAATTGTTTTTCTCATCATTCAAAAGTAATAATAACGGACGTTAAATGTGAAGATAAATATGCGATGCAAGCGTTTATTGGAGGCCTAGATATAACTATGGGACGTTTTGATACAGATGAACATCCTTTATACGAAACATATAACACAATTCACAAGGATGACTGGTATAGTAACTGCGTGGCTCCACCAGTAAGTGGCATAGCTCCAAGACAGTCATGGCATGATGTCATAACTAAAATTATCGGACCATCTGTTTGGGATATGTATGACACTTTCGTGGGAAGAGTTGAAAGACAACGCCCTCAATTAAAAAATTGCGTCGTTGATGTTATTAATAATTTACTAAAGCAAAAAAAATTGATTGGGCGCAGCGTTCCCTATCAACACATTATTAACAGATCTTGCTATAACGTACAAGTATTTCGCAGCTCCGATACAGATGCTACTACATTTAATAACTTTTTTTGGCGCAACAGATTTTCCAATATCTCGCAAGCGGTCGACAGAAGCTTGCAATTGGCAATATGCCATTTGACATTAAATGCCAAAACATATATCTATATTGAAAATCAATACTTTCTGAGCAGCGCTCAATTCTGGCAAATTGATAAAATCCCTCCGCTAAAAAATTTGGTGGCACATTGTATAGTTAAACGAATCGTGAAAGCGATAAAGTTTTCTAAAGCTTTTAAAGTATACATTGTAATTCCTCTTTATAGTGAGGGGATACCTGGTTCATCAAATTTACAAGAAATTTTACATTGGCAATATCATACGTTAAGATACATGTTTAAAGAAATTAATAGAAATTTAAGGCTTTATAAATCTTCAGCTTCAGTAGAAGATTACTTACGATTTTTCTTTCTCGGAAAAATCGAAACTCCTCCAAAAACACAGGCTCCTCAGATTCCTGCGCATCAAATATATGTACACAGTAAATTAATGATAATCGACGATTATTATTGTTTGATTGGTAGCGGTAACATTAATGATCGTTCATTAAATGGGTCCCGCGATACTGAATTATCTGTAGGCGTTTCACAAGCATATTTCACACCGTACCAAGAAAACGGAGAATGGGCGTTACCAAAAGCCGACATATATGGATTTAGAGTTCTTCTATGGGTAGAACATTTTGGGGAATATTATGATTGGATGGACAATCCAGGATCTCAAGCAACCTGGGATAAAGTCGTTGAAATTGCGACTGAAAATTATAAAGCTTATTTGAATCCAGAAATATATTCAAAAGAAAAACATTCTTTTATCATGACATATCCACTAAATAGCCAAAATATAGAATTAGAAGAAGATATAAAAATTCCGCATTTTCAAGTTTCAATTAAAGGAAATAAAAATAGAATAATGCCAGAAGGAATTACTACGTAAAGCTAACACGGGAAATTCCGATAGTTAATCATAATTTTTTAGCTTATTATTTCATTGTTTAGATAGTGCTATTTATGTAAATTTACCAGATATATTTATAATTAATTTTAATTTATTAATTGTTTAAGCTAAACAACTAAAAAATTAAATTTCGTTATTTTCAATAATTTATTAAAAATATGGTTTATAACTATAATCATCAAACATTTATTTAATGTTTATAATTATATAAAATCGATCAAATATGAAAAAATCATAATAACGTATTTCTATTATGACAAATTGTATCCATGCATAATACGTGGAGCGTTATGAAATTAAACTAAAAAAGTTTGTTTGCTAAAAAATAAATTAATTTATATCTATCGTGATAACGAAATTATGAGGTGTATAAATGGCTAATGATATCAAACTAAACAAGATAGTAAAAAAATTAAATAATCTAGATCAAATATCTTATTATGAACTAAGAAAAGAGTTATCAGATGAGGTGAACAACAATTTCAATCAAATTTCACCACGTTGTAGGATCGCAATCTGGAGGGAATTATTATTTTTTTCATCATTTAAGGAAGAGCTAAAAAACAAATCTAAAATGCTATATTTAAAACAAAAATACACAAATCAACATAACAAAAAGATCGCTAGTCACGAGATTCAAATAAAAAAAGATTTGGTTAGGCTTCAATGCAATGGAATCAGTCAGTTATTAATAAAAAAAAGTATAGAACACCTAAGACTAATACTAATTGAATTGAGTAATTCAATTAGCTTTATTGGTTACGTGCAAGGGTTAGATCAAATATGTCTTTTAGTATTTCTGACGCTCGCGGCGCATTATTACGATGTGCAATTAGAAGAATTACAGGCAGAACAAATAACCGAAAAATTAACTGAAAGTATTAGTCAAGACTGTATAGAGATAGTGTCTTGTTTTATCTTAAAGATACCTGAAATATTCACGTTTAATACACGCGGAATTTTAAAAATAAATGATATCGTTTGGAACATTCTGAATAAATGCATGCGTAAGTCTAGTGAAGATCACGTTTTAGCTTCGGTTTTCCATTTTTTAAATTGCAATAAGATATGTTTGCAACCAATTATTGCAAAATATAGCGTAACTCTATTTTCTCGTGACACTTGTTATAGAAATTTTGTTAAATTTATCGATATATTTATTACTGAAACGGAGCCTGTGAATTATATTGCTTTTGTTTGCTCAGGTTTGATCGTTAATAGTTGTTATAAATTAATCAAGAACAATTCACCCGGAGTAAGTAAAAAATAAAAAATAATATATAGTCAACAGAAAAATTAATAGAAGCAGTTAAAAGCTGTACACAGTCTAACGAATTCAATGAAGCATTAATATTAGCGTAAGTTACGTTAAAATACCAACATTAGCAATTATTTTAAATCCTTATTTAGCGAGTCTCCAAAACATCTAATTGATGATTAATAAAGTAGATGAAGCTGATATATTACTTAGTTTTTTATTTTATTTAGGACATAAACAATTAATAATTATTTTTTTTAAAATTTAATTTACGTATAATAAAGGAGATGAGTATAAAAAGCGACCCAAGATTTAAATCAGACGAAATTCTCGACAAAATTCTGAACACAAAAACTTTTATCGGAGGAAATGAAATTTCGTACGTCGATATTTTGAATTACAGAGTACGTTCTGAAAATGCAACTGCTCCACAAAAGGCTAACATAATCCGGTGGATCAAAGCTGTAGAAGTCTACAACCCTTCTGGTTTTTGGGTAGATGAACCTGTGCAAGAAAATAAATCTGAATCCTGCGACAAATCTAAGAAAGGAAATGTTTCAAAGAGCGACGAAAAGATGAAGAAGGACGAAAAACCAAAGAAAGAGGATAAACCAAAAAAAGAAGAAAAACCAATGAAAAAGAAACAGCCAAAGCCAACTGAAGCCAAAAAAACTGACGAAAAAACTAACACTAACACTGACGATGATAGTGATAGTGATCTCGATCTTGACAGCGCTGACATTCCAAAGGTTGAATTGAAACTTAAACCTATGGAAAAGAAAGGAGCAAAGAAGAAGCAAGTGGACAAGTCTTCTGTCATATATCAAGCATTCGTCAATGCACAAGATATCGACTTTGACCATTTATACTTCGACGTAATTAGTAAAATTGCTATAGATGGTTTACTTTGGAACCAACAATACAGCAAGAAAGACGGTCCTTTTGGAATCAAAGTTCTTACTATAGGTTGTGTCATTGAAGATGACAAAGTTACTCTAGACGCGATCGAAGAAGCACTGGAAACTGTCAACATGAAGCCTGAAGATATTCCTCGTTACCTTGAACTTAGAAACCAGGGTCTTCTCGACGAATGCGAAGAAGAATTCGAAGGAAAAATCATTGGTTCCTTGACAAACGTGGCATTCTCAAAAATTTAATTGTTTATTGAGTATATTTAAGTTTAGTTTAGCTGTATATATGTATTGAATAACTTAAATTATTATTTATGCTGGATCAATAACAATTTTATTTCTTATACTGCATCTTAATAAAATTGTTTCCATGTTGTAGTAATAGTCATAGTGTTTAGTTACCATGTCGGAAACATCTACGTTTTCAATATCGATTAAATCAATTTTAGATAAACCTACGACATTTTTTGTCCATTCCATCCATCGAAAGAGTAAGGAAAGAACTAAATCTGATTTGGAATAAACGTTGATAAACCGGCCGGTGACAACTTGGCGACATTCAGCAAAAATCTTTGTTTGATTTTGAAAAGGTGTTCCCATTATTATAACATCGTCTATGATATGGTAATAGTTAAGTTTGCGTAATGTTTGTAGACAGTGAATCAAGACTTTTGCACCAACGGAGTAACCTATCAACGATATCGAATTAGCATGTTTATTGAACTTTTCAATGATTTCACAAGCTAACAGCTCGCCTGCACTAACTGCTCGTGAAAGAGCCATTGACCACGTGTTGTCGATTTGGGAGACATACTGAATGCAAGAGATAGGCCACATAATTGTTGATGTGGCGGCCAAGGTTCCAAGTTTTAAAGTTAAGCCTGTTGCTTGCGTGATAAGCGTTTCTGAGATTAATCGGTTTATCGTAGAGCTGAGTTCTTTTAACAAATCAGATTCCCATCTAACTGTGTACGCAATAACACCCAACTGATGCTTGATTAAGTTTACTTCGACGTTCGTCACATTTGGAACAAAACCATGGATGTATATGACATGGTTTCCTTCAAAAATTTCACTTTGCGTATTTCGGTTTTCTAATTCTGTTAAATTAATAGAAGGTTGCTTATGTATTAATAATTTGTCGAACTCATCATCTCTTGTACTCTCCATACCATTAGTATTTTTAAACGTAAAAACTGATTTATTAACTTTGATTGATACATCGCTCAATTCATCAATATTAAAATCATTTTTTCGAGCATAGTCATAATCGGAGGAAAGATTGTGATTTGCATTAATACTATTTTGGTGCGTTATAATCGGTAAAATATTGCACAAAAGCATAGAATCTGGTAAAGCTTTCAACGAAAAATTTTTTACAGATGCATTCTTACGAATCAATTTTATAGCAGCTAACGTGGCGCTGCTAATACCAAATAAGGAAGCATATGAAATGCCACCAATAGTGCTTTGAAAAAAAATAGCAGCTGATGTTAAGCCTGTTAAACTACAAGTACTAATTACAAAAGGTAATGCCATGCCTGCAGTTAGTGTGCCAATTGCGCCAATACCAAGTGCGACGGCCGATATCTTTAAAATCCTTGCTTTACTTTTTTTTTCAATATATATTTTTTTGCTTGCCGTTTGAGGAGTTTCTTCATTCGAAGTATTTGTCTGTTCGCTGTTAATGGCGGTTTGTTTATAAATTTGTTGTAAAAAACAAATATACAAATAACAAAATTGTTCACTAGTCATATAATTGTTACAAACCCCCTGTAATAAGTTGAGGAGTAACGGTCCTGGTCTTGGTGAATAGTTAAGAAGACACGCAATCAATACTTGAAAAATTACTTTTTTTAAAAAAAAAACAGGATGATTACAAACTTCATTACTAAGATCTGTTTCAGCAGATGCCAAGCATTGTCGTTGCCTCAACTCTAATAAAAACTCGTCTGCACTTGGAGCAAAAAGAACACATTTTGATATATTATTATCTTCATTCCACTTGTATCTTAACGTTTTGATTTTTTTACCAGTTGTTGCGTTTAAACAGTCAGAATTTAAATTTATCTTGCCATTTATGATATTAAAAGCTTCTGATAGATTTGTGAGATATTTATCTAAAATTTCATTCGTAGTTTTCGAGATTGTATCAATTTCTTTGTTTGGTAATTGATCATTCAGATAAAGTTCAACTAGTTTGTAAATATTATTCAAAATAGGACTGGTTTCAAGGTAAAAGGCAGTTAAATATTTTTTTAATAATATTGCGCGTGGCTCAATTATTTTTCTGTTATTTTTATCTTTGTACGTAGATATAAAGCTTAAGCAAAGCTGAGTACAAAATAGATCTACTAAGAATAAAGGAATGCTACTTATTGGGACGTTGTAAATTTGATGATAATAATAAAAACGCAGTTCGTTAATGGTCTCTAGACTAGATAGTTTAAGAGAAGCTAGATATACATTTTCATTGGAAGATGGAGTATCAGTATGAGAAGTTGTGTCACACATTTATCATAAAAAACTATAGTAAAAATAATCTTTTCAGTTCCTTTCGTGTACAAAACAGATAACGACGTTGTATTTGCTTTGAATATAAATTTAACAAAATAAAATATATCGATTATGAAATATTAAGATGGTAAATTAAACCCGACCTGTAAGATCAAAAATTGTAAAGGTATTAATAACAACAGATAATAAAAAGTAAAAGAATAGACATTAGTCTTAATAACCAAAAAAAATTTTGTTAACGGTTGACTTTAGCGATTCTTTCCAATTCATCCTTCTTTCTAATGGCGTAAGAATTGGTTGATTTCTTAGAGCAGTTAATGATTTCATCAGCTAAACATTCTGCTATTGATTTAGTGGATCTGAAAGCACTAGCTCTAGCACCTTGAGTAATGAGGTAAATAGCTTGGTTGACTCTTCGGAGTGGAGATACATCGACAGCTTGACGTCTGACAATACCAGCTGAACCGATTCTGGTAGAATCTTCACGGCATCCACCGTGTCTGACGGCATCAACAAGTACCTGGACAGGGTTTTGGTCAGTGGAAAGTGCAATTATATCGAAAGCGTCTCGAATTATTTTGACAGCTTTCAATTTTTTACCATTGTTTCTTCCGTGCATCATCATGGAATTGACGAGTCTTTCAACAATGGGACATTGAGCCTTTCTAAATCTCTTCTTGTTCCAGCGACCAGACGAGTGAGGAATGTAGCAACTGCCTACACCTTTTGTGCTGATATAGTCGATAAGCGAAAAGTCCGCGCACTCTACTCCGTCGAAAGGATATTTACCGAATAGTTTGATATTCTGTGATGAAGAACTCATGAATTCAATATAGTATTGTATTGAATAGTATGATAAAAAAAACCGTTTTGTCGTCTTATAAAAATTTCAATGACAGATAATTGTTATTGATGGAAAATGTCGAGTTTACAATTTAACTAGCGTTTTTAGTGTTTCAATGACTATTGTTAACGCCGGTTAAAAATGTATTGCTAATTTTTTTCTTTATTGGTCAATGCCATAATCATTTTTTTACATATCAATTTGTTTTAGTACATTGGTTTTATATATATCACAGTATTGCATGTAAATTTATGCTTAAAAAGATGACAAATTTTCTCGGTAGGGTGCGTCAAAAAAGCAGCGAATGACGGACGAATCACCTCCGGTATTACTAGAAGTAAAAGGAGTTCTACAACTTTTAAGCTCGATTGATGGTATGTTTTGCTTAATTCGATGTTTTTTTAGACAGAGATCCTGAAAAAACTCAGACTGTGCTCCGCGGTTTATCGGTAATTTCTAATAGTACAACGCTCGATGAAATTTACGAAGATCGAACTAACAAATACAAAGAACAGATAAATTCGCTCATTAAAGAATTAGATAAACAAAAAAACGAGCTTGACGATACTAAAGAAAGGTTTAAGACCAACGAAGAATCTATTCAAAAACTCGACAAAAAATGTAAAATTCTCGAGAATCTCCTAAACAAAAAACAAGCTGAACTGAAAAAATATGACACTCTGTTGAATAATTTTAAGAACAATGTTTCTGATATAACTGAAAAAACTAAAGATAATTTGGAGTCGCTCTATCATAACTTAGAAGAGAAATCGAAATTATTAAATACTGCAATGCAAAAAATAGAAGCAATAGAACTTGAAAATGTAGAACTTAAAAATAAACTCGACGGATCACTCGAAACTAGTAAAAACTTCAATATTATAAATTCTCCTTTAAATACGGTTTTATCGGATCGTTCATTGAGCGGTGAAAATCAAACAAATAATTTATATGACGCTGAGGTGAAAGAAAATAGAGAAAATTTCACTTCTTCAGCTAATAACACCATGACAAATCATCCTTCTCCACTAAAAGATGATTTAAGTAAAGACAAGTCTCAGGATAATTTTAATATTTCTGGATCTTCAAACAATAAAATTTTTAGTGACATCGATGAAAATGTGATAGTTGTTGACCAAACAAGTGTTGAAATAACCTCAATACCTATTGGTGTCAGTTCTCAACTTTCAAGTGTCAGTTTAGAAGACACATTTGCAAACAAGAATGATCTAACTAAAGAAAAAACTTCATTAAAATCTGCTTCGACATTAGATAAAACAAAAAACTGTAAATTTGACAGTTTAGAAGACTTAAATGATAAATTAATAAATCAACCTTTACAAATAGTCGATAAGCAAGAAGTTATTTCCAAGCCATCTAAGCTTAAAACATCAGAAACTAAATATCAGGATAGATATAGCAGCTTAGAGAATGATAAATTCACAATAAAAAAAAGCTACGGTATGTCTAGTGGTGTAGTTGTTTCTGAGATACCTTCGAATAAGTTAAATCGACTGGAATCAAATAAATTATCGAAGAAATTTCGAGATTCATTGAATAAAACTAGTGAGAACCCATCTAATTCACCCATCCAGCAAATTAAAGATAATGTCGACAGAAATAAAAATAAGATGGCAACAAAATTGCGCCAAAATAGTTTAAGTTCTGATGAAACTATGGATTTGAACAATAATTTAACTAAGAGTAATATATTAGAAAAAAAAGCAGTTAATCCAAATATAAACCGCAAAAAAATTAAAAAAATCAAGGATAAACTCCAATTGATAAGCAATATAAAACTCGATGCAAGAAAAAACAGTAAGGATGAAAAAACTTTAGATCTAAAAGATGCTTCGCAAAATTTGTTGGGTATTTTAAGTGATTCTGTTTCTTGCGATAGTTTGGATAGCATGGGGTCCAATTCATCTAGGTTTACAATGCTTAGTAACGCTAAGTTTGGATCAAAAGAAAGTCTGAGTATCCAACAAGTTTCACTTATCGAAATGCCAATATCAGCGGTTCCTAATTTTACAAATTATCCGGACAAATACACTGACTACCAAAAAGAGTTGATCGGAAATTATGGGTTTAGCTTAGCTGTGCAATCAGATGAGGACGGAGGTAATTGTGACAGACTTGAGGAACTGCGTGGAACAAATTCAGATGATAAAAAAAACGGTTTCGTTCAGCAACGAGTTTATCGGGAATTACAAAAGAGTCTGACGTATAAGCCTCCGTCGAACTATCGATATTTCAATGTGGATCAACAATATTTGAATCCAATGAGTCGTGGAGACCAAGAGAGACAATTTCAGATTCCACACGTCGGGAAATACTCTACATTTCAAGAAATGCTCAAAAAACGAGCAAATAGCAAATTTTCTTCTGTAAGTAGAGCAAAATTTTGCAGCGGCGATTCGATAAATGAAATTTGCGAGCAATGTTCAAGTTGCGTAAATTTATTCAGCAGTTGTAAAAATTTTACTGTCAACAGGAAAAGAAAGAAATAGCGAAAGATTCACGTTTTTTAAGCTCTATTTTTAATTTATTTTTTATTGTGATCAATTTTTATAAACTGAACAGGAATATTATAAGACGAGGTCAGAAAATTCATACATTCAGTAACGCAATTACCCTGTATCGTAACACTTGTGACTTCTACATTGTTGATTTTTTCAGTGTCATGCGAAACACCGGCACTGAATTTTCTCTGGAGTTCACTCGCAAATTCTTTAAGGTTGGAAATGCCAAAGTAATTGAGTCCAGTAATAAGTGTAATAGTTTTATTAAATTTTCCTTTTTTAGTATATATCAATAACTCTTTTCCAGCTTCAATGATCATAAATTGCTTAGCTTTTATTGCAACTTCAGTTGGATTTAAATTTACTGGAGCTAGAATTAAGTATTGTTTAAACGCCTTTTGAAGGAATAAACCTAAACCTTCATCTAGAGACAAGTTGGTTATCACGTCGCTACTTCTAAATTCCTTGAGTTGCTGTTTGTTTAAAAACAAAAAAACAGCTTTAAACTTGTTTTCAATCAACTCAGTCCAATTATACGAATCTAAAAGTCCTAAAGCTTTCGAGTTGAAAGGCACAGAAAAATGACGGCATAAAAAATCCAATACACGGTCTTTAACGTCTTGTATTGAAAAATATCCATCTCCTCCTACAAGGTTGTTGAAGAAGGGGTTATCTTTGTTTGGTTTGTACACTCTGTATGTTGTGTAATTGACAGTTTGCGTTTTTTTCTTATCAGAACCACCTTTCGATTTTTCATTTGTCGACAGGTCTGAAAACTGTGGCAAAATCGGACAGGTTTTCAAGTTTGGATGGTTTCTATTAATTTTAAAAATCAGGAATTCATTGTTTTTTTGCTTTACAGTCAAACAGTTCAAAGATTTGATGTGTAGAGCTAGTGTAGAGAAATTGGTCCAAGGAGTATTTGCTACCTTAAGATCTTTGAAAACTCCGACATTGTATGTTGTATCGAAACACACCATATCGTTGATTTTTTCTTCATCTTCTTTAACGTTAAGTTTTTGATAAGTATCAAACGTCAGTTTCAGTAAAAATAGATAATTGGACTCGTACGTGTTTTTAATCAAGCCTTGTACAGAAGACCAACAAGCGGTTAAATGAGCAGGCAAACTGTTATCAGAGACAGAAAACCGTAAATAATTGAAAATAAATATTTCGATAATTTTGTTAACCACGATAGAAGGTAAATCCAGCTTGTTGTTTTCTTGTTCTTCTTTGTTGTTTGTATCATCTGGAACTGCGGTTTTAAGATTTTCAGTTCCAGCATTAGTATCGTTGCCCGTGGTTGAATCTAATGTTTCTTTGTTTAGAGAGTCGCAGCTAGAACTTTTATTATCACAGTCAAAGTTTTCAATTTTATAATTCTTTGCGCTGTACAAAGAAAAAATGTTATCGTTGTAGAAATGAAGTATTTGAAGTAATTTTCCTTGTTTATTGTTGAGCTCAAGCATAGTCTTGCTTTGCACTACTATGCCAATAGCTATTGCGGGAGAGTTTTCAGGTTGGATAGCCCACAATTGGCCTTCGTCCATTCCGCGTTCAAGTAAACTTTCGATAGAATCTCTCACACCTGGAAACATTAAATCGGCTCCGTTGTAAATAAAGTTCGCCACAGCCGAGTCTACTACCATGGTGTTAACTTTTACTAACTTTTCCCAAATCGAAATTAGGGTAGGATAAACCGTGTTGGTATCATGTGAATTGCTGAAAAAATAAGGCACGCTGTCACATACATATATTCGAGCTGAATAATGCTTGTTGTTGAGAACGAGGAATTTCGAACAATTAAGTAACTTTTCAGCCAAGAGTTTCTCGTTCTCAACCGTGTATTGTTCTGAAACCTTTTTGACTAGTGCTTTTTTGTCTTTACCACCACAAAGATTAGTTAATCCAGAATCGAGAGCATGTGACTTTTTTTGTTTAAACATTTTGTATGATATTATGGGTCTTTTTTAAAATTAAAGAATAGTATTTACTCGCTAATAAATATATTAAATATAATTATTTATTGCTGGTACGCTAAAAGTAGCGGTTCAAGCTTAGATTTTAAATATATCTGATAGCTGTCACAGGATAACTTGTCTGAGCTGTATTTGTAAACTGTTCGACTTAGAATTGCTACTGCTTCTTCTTGACTAATTTCGTTTCGTCTGTCAACCAAACCATTAAAACAATCATCCGGTACCAAGTAGTGCAAATCGATTTTTTCTTTTATAAATTTGATTTTTAATAATACGTGATTTAAAACAACACTCGAAGGACTTATGATTTCCCATTCGTCGAAATCATTATACTTGAGTCCTAAGAATAATTTGTGCGTCTGACTGATTTCTGGCATGTCTACCGATTTCTTAAACGATGCCGCTAATCGCTTCTGGAACTTTGTATTGGAAGTCCCCTGCATATATAAAACAAGTTCTTTTATGTGATTCAGTAACA